GTGGGTTGTGTGAGGTAGCTGGGTGTGTGGGTTGTGTGAGGTAGCTGGGTGTGTGGGTTGTGTGAGGTAGCTGGGTGTGTGGGTTGTGTTGTGTGAGGTAGCTGGGTGTGTGGGTTGTGTGAGGTAGCTGGGTGTGTGGGTTGTGTTGTGTGAGGTAGCTGGGTGTGTGGGTTGTGTTGTGTGAGGTAGCTGGGTGTGTGGGTGGGTTGTGTGAGGTAGCTGGGTGTGTGGGTGGGTTGTGTGAGGTAGCTGGGTGTGTGGGTTGTGTGAGGTAGCGGAGTGTGTGGGTTGTGAGGTTGCTGTGTGTGGAGTGTGTTGTGTGAGGTGGCTGGGTGTGTGGGTTGTGTGAGGTAGCTGGGTGGGTGGGTGGGTTGTGTGAGGTAGCTGGGTGTGTGGGTTGTGTGAGGTTGCTGGGTGTGTGGGTTGTGTGAGGTAGCTGGGTGTGTGGGTTGTGTGAGGTAGCTGGGTGTGTGGGTTGTGTGAGGTAGCTGGGTGTGTGGGTTGTGTGAGGTAGCTGGGTGTGTGGGTTGTGTGAGGTAGCTGGGTGTGTGGGTTGTGTGAGGTAGCTGGGTGTGTGGGTTGTGTGAGGTAGCTGGGTGTGTGGGTTGTGTTGTGTGAGGTAGCTGGGTGTGTGGGTTGTGTGAGGTTGCTGTGTGTGTGGGTTGTGTGAGGTAGCTGGGTGTGTGGGCTGTGTGAGGTTGCTGTGTGTGTGGGTTGTGCTGTGTGAGGTAGCTGGGTGTGTGGGTTGTGTGAGGTTGCTGTGTGTGTGGGTTGTGTGAGGTAGCTGGGTGTGTGGGTTGTGTGAGGTAGCTGGGTGTGTGGGCTGTGTGAGGTTGCTGTGTGTGTGGGTTGTGTGAGGTAGCTGGGTGTGTGGGTTGTGTGAGGTAGCTGGGTGTGTGGGTTGTGTGAGGTAGCTGGGTGTGTGGGCTGTGTGAGGTTGCTGTGTGTGTGGGTTGTGTGAGGTAGCTGGGTGTGTGGGTTGTGTGAGGTAGCTGGGTGTGTGGGTTGTGTGAGGTAGCTGGGTGTGTGGGCTGTGTGAGGTTGCTGTGTGTGTGGGTTGTGTGAGGTAGCTGGGTGTGTGGGTTGTGTGAGGTAGCTGGGTGTGTGGGTTGTGTGAGGTAGCTGGGTGTGTGGGTTGTGTGAGGTAGCTGGGTGTGTGGGTTGTGTGAGGTAGCTGGGTGTGTGAGGTAGCTGGGTGTGTGGGTTGTGTGAGGTAGCTGGGTGTGTGGGTTGTGTTGTGTGAGGTAGCTGGGTGTGTGGGTGGGTTGTGTGAGGTAGCTGGGTGTGTGGGTTGTGTGAGGTAGCGGAGTGTGTGGGTTGTGTGAGGTAGCTGGGTGTGTGGGTTGTGTGAGGTAGCTGGGTGTGTGGGTTGTGTGAAGTACCTGGGTGTGTGGGTTGTGTGAGGTAGCTGGGTGTGTGGGTTGTGTGAGGTAGCTGGGTGTGTGGGCTGTGTGAGGTAGCTGGGTGTGTGGGTTGTGAGGTTGCTGTGTGTGGAGTGTGTTGTGTGAGGTAGCTGGGTGGGTGGGTGGGTTGTGTGAGGTAGCTGGGTGGGTGGGTGGGTTGTGTGAGGTAGCTGGGTGGGTGGGTGGGTTGTGTGAGGTAGCTGGGTGTGTGGGTTGTGCTGTGTGAGGTAGCTGGGTGTGTGGGTTGTGTGAGGTAGCTGGGTGTGTGGGTTGTGTGAGGTAGCTGGGTGTGTGGGTTGTGTGAGGTAGCTGGGTGTGTGGGTTGTGTGAGGTAGCTGGGTGTGTGGGTTGTGTGAGGTAGCTGGGTGTGTGGGTTGTGTGAGGTAGCTGGGTGTGTGGGTTGTGTGAGGTAGCTGGGTGTGTGGGTTGTGTGAGGTAGCTGGGTGTGTGGGTTGTGTGAGGTAGCTGGGTGTGGGTTGTGTGAGGTAGCTGGGTGTGTGGGTTGTGTGAGGTAGCTGGGTGTGTGGGTTGTGTGAGGTAGCTGGGTGTGTGGGTTGTGTTGTGTGAGGTAGCTGGGTGTGTGGGTTGTGTGAGGTAGCTGGGTGTGTGGGTTGTGTGAGGTAGCTGGGTGTGTGGGTTGTGCTGTGTGAGGTGGCTGTGTGTGGAGTGTGGGTTGTGTGAGGTTGCTGTGTGTGGAGTGTGTTGTGTGAGGTAGCTGGGTGTGTGGGTTGTGTGAGGTAGCTGGGTGTGTGGGTTGTGCTGTGTGAGGTGGCTGTGTGTGGAGTGTGGGTTGTGTGAGGTAGCTGGTAGCACCATTTTTTCCTATCCTTCAAAAAGTACATTTCAGGGTTTCATACCATGGTGAAGTACGGGCATGGAATTTATTATATACAAATATTTATGTCTCTTCTTATGAAATGTGTACTTCTTCAACTGTTGCATTTGAAAAGTATTTCTAATAAAAACAATATGGGACTTGTATAGCAAGGCCTTAAAAGTGTTCAAGGACTCTCATATCATTGTATAGACAGTCTTGTGTATGTGGTGTATCAGCATCGTGCATTACAGGCCTTCATCTTACAGAATCACCAATCAATGTATGATGGCCAGAAGATTCTCACCATTTGATGGCCAAAAGATTCTCACCATTTGATGGCCAAAAGATTCTCACCATTTGATGGCCAAAAGATTCTCACCATTTGATGGCCAAAAGATTCTCACCATTTGATGGCCAAAAGATTCTCACCATTTGATGGCCAAAAGATTCTCACCATTTGATGGCCAAAAGATTCTCACCATTTGATGGCCAAAAGATTCTCACCATTTGATGGCCAAAAGATTCTCACCATTTGATGGCCAAAAGATTCTCACCATTTGATGGCCAAAAGATTCTCACCATTTGATGGCCAGAAGATTCTCACCATTTGATGGCCAAAAGATTCTCACCATTTGATGGCCAGAAGATTCTCACCATTTGATGGCCAAAAGATTCTCACCATTTGATGGCCCAAAGATTCTCACCATTTGATGGCCAAAAGATTCTCACCATTTGATGGCCAAAAGATTCTCACCATTTGATGGCCAGAAGATTCTCACCATTTGATGGCCAAAAGATTCTCACCATTTGATGGCCAAAAGATTCTCACCATTTGATGGCCCAAAGATTCTCACCATTTGATGGCCAAAAGATTCTCACCATTTGATGGCCAAAAGATTCTCACCATTTGATGGCCAAAAGATTCTCACCATTTGATGGCCAGAAGATTCTCACCATTTGATGGCCAAAAGATTCTCACCATTTGATGGCCCAAAGATTCTCACCATTTGATGGCCAAAAGATTCTCACCATTTGATGGCCAAAAGATTCTCACCATTTGATGGCCAGAAGATTCTCACCATTTGATGGCCAAAAGATTCTCACCATTTGATGGCCAAAAGATTCTCACCATTTGATGGCCCAAAGATTCTCACCATTTGATGGCCAAAAGATTCTCACCATTTGATGGCCCAAAGATTCTCACCATTTGATGGCCAAAAGATTCTCACCATTTGATGGCCAAAAGATTCTCACCATTTGATGGCCAAAAGATTCTCACCATTTGATGGCCAAAAGATTCTCACCATTTGATGGCCAGAAGATTCTCACCATTTGATGGCCAAAAGATTCTCACCATTTGATGGCCCAAAGATTCTCACCATTTGATGGCCAAAAGATTCTCACCATTTGATGGCCAAAAGATTCTCACCATTTGATGGCCAAAAGATTCTCACCATTTGATGGCCAGAAGATTCTCACCATTTGATGGCCAAAAGATTCTCACCATTTGATGGCCAAAAGATTCTCACCATTTGATGGCCAAAAGATTCTCACCATTTGATGGCCAGAAGATTCTCACCATTTGATGGCCCAAAGATTCTCACCATTTGATGGCCAAAAGATTCTCACCATTTGATGGCCAGAAGATTCTCACCATTTGATGGCCAAAAGATTCTCACCATTTGATGGCCAAAAGATTCTCACCATTTGATGGCCAAAAGATTCTCACCATTTGATGGCCCAAAGATTCTCACCATTTGATGGCCAAAAGATTCTCACCATTTGATGGCCAAAAGATTCTCACCATTTGATGGCCAAAAGATTCTCACCATTTGATGGCCAGAAGATTCTCACCATTTGATGGCCAAAAGATTCTCACCATTTGATGGCCAAAAGATTCTCACCATTTGATGGCCAGAAGATTCTCACCATTTGATGGCCAAAAGATTCTCACCATTTGATGGCCCAAAGATTCTCACCATTTGATGGCCAAAAGATTCTCACCATTTGATGGCCAGAAGATTCTCACCATTTGATGGCCAGAAGATTCTCACCATTTGATGGCCAAAAGATTCTCACCATTTGATGGCCAAAAGATTCTCACCATTTGACGGCCAAAAGATTCTCACCATTTGATGGCCAAAAGATTCTCACCATTTGATGGCCAGAAGATTCTCACCATTTGATGGCCAAAAGATTCTCACCATTTGATGGCCCAAAGATTCTCACCATTTGATGGCCAAAAGATTCTCACCATTTGATGGCCAAAAGATTCTCACCATTTGATGGCCAAAAGATTCTCACCATTTGATGGCCAAAAGATTCTCACCATTTGATGGCCCAAAGATTCTCACCATTTGATGGCCAAAAGATTCTCACCATTTGATGGCCAAAAGATTCTCACCATTTGATGGCCAGAAGATTCTCACCATTTGATGGCCAAAAGATTCTCACCATTTGATGGCCAAAAGATTCTCACCATTTGATGGCCAAAAGATTCTGTACACATCTTTTATTACCGATATACGGTTAACACAAAACATTTCTCACAAATACTCTCTATACAAAACATGTCACAACACAATAAATACTCTCTATACAAAACATGTCACAACACAAATACTCTCTATACAAAACATGTCACAACACAAATACTCTCTATACAAAACATGTCACAACACAAATACTCTCTATACAAAACATGTCACAACACAAATACTCTCTAAACAAAACATGTCACAACACAAATACTCTCTAAACAAAATCTTTCAACACAACTGTGGGACTTTCAAAGATTGTTTTATCAAAAGACAAATACAGCAAGACTTAAGTTACTCAAGGACAAGACTGAATTGGGTCAAATCTAAAATGTATTTGTCTGTGAGCACAGCAGAAGAAATCTAACTACAACATCTAATGACATGGGCGTGCTGAACTGGAGGTGTGCCCATACAATAACACTTTCCTGCTTTTAAAGCCTTGGTCAAAGAAATCCGTCTTGTCTTTATCAGGGACATTCTGGGCTTCCTGCAAACATACGGTCAAGCTAATCAATATTTTGACATGGTCAAGCTAATCAATATTTTGACATGGTCAAGCTAATCAATATTTTGACATGGTCAAGCTAATCAATATTTTGACATGGTCAAGCTAATCAATATTTTGACACGGTCAAGCTAATCAATATTTTGACATGGTCAAGCTAATCAATATTTTGACACGGTCAAGCTAATCAATATTTTGACACGGTCAAGCTAATCAATATTTTGACATGGTCAAGCTAATCAATATTTTGATTGTTAAAATATAATAATAGAAAAGGTTGTTATTATAACATTTTTTATTTTAAAATGTGTTAACTTTAAAAACGTTAGAATAGAAACCATATAGCTAAGACAAATTGTGCACACAATGTACACCCCCTGGCACAGAAAACTTTATGTAGGAAACTTTAATGAGTTCTCTACAAATTAAACTAAAGATCCAATTGAGTCCAATTGTAAGTGACATTGCACTGTCACCTAGTCCTGATCAATGTGCCAAGTTTCAAAGAAATCTGTCTGACAGGAGTGTTGGAAATTTTGGCAGCCAGTTTCAACCACTGACAACAGAACACGAAGAACAAATAAAGTGAGGCTTGTAAACAGCAATTAAGATTCCCATTTAGAAATTAATTGTTGCCACTTACAGCGCACAAAAGTGTAGGTTTGGCTTGATAGATATAAACTCCTCCATTTCTCGTCCAGTCCTAAAGGAAAAATATTTTCACCAAATTAATTGAGAGCATTTTTAATCAGATATTCAATTTTTTTTTCTTGTTCATTTCAACTGGATTATGTGTAACTAGTTTAAAACTGTACATCTGATCTTGCCATAATTTGAATGTACTACTCAAACAAAGAATGGAACCTATTAAAGAATGTATAACAAGATGTTTTAAAATATAAAAACAAAAGGTTGACTTACCATGCGATGATATTTCAAATGGTACCAGACAAAGTAGGAGGCACCAAAGAGCATCAGTAACTTGGGGACGGTAGTCCTCACTGCACTGGCAGTCTCAGTGCCCTAGAACAACAATCTTAAACTTATAAAGGTGACATTTTAGGAAATAGTTAGGCTATACATGAAAAGCTATAATATGAGCTTCAGCTGGAGAAAATTGCAATGTTAGGTCAGTTTGACAAACTTATTATTAACAATAAAATCAAAAGCTGATAAACCAAACAGGCTTCCTACTCTACCAATTTTCACAAGCAAGGTGGTCATTGATAACAATGGTTTGGTCATTGATAACAATGGTTTGTTCATTGATAACAATGGTTTGGTCATTGATAACAATGGTTTGTTCATTGATAACAATGGTTTGGTCATTGATAACAATGGTTTGTTCATTGATAACAATGGTTTGGTCAATTGATAACAATGGTTTGGTCAATTGATTACAATGCTTTGGTCAATATAACAATGGTTTGGTCATTGATAACAATGGTTTGGTCATTGATAACAATGGTTTGGTCATTGATAACAATGGTTTGGTCAATTGATAACAATGGTTTGGTCATTGATAACAATGGTTTGGTCAATTAATAACAATGGTTTGGTCATTGATAACAATGGTTTGGCTAACATTACAGGATCAGATATCATCCTACTTGACCCCTAAACATTCTTTTTAAAAGGGCAAAAAAACTTTTTTTATATAAATAAGATATCTGTAGATAAAAACAAAATTAAAAAATAATAGTTGCTGCAGTGGCAAAAGTTTTAACATTAGTCAAAAATGAGCCTAGTATATATAAAAATGTACATCATTTTTATTTATTTTTGTGAAAAAAATGTTTATTAATTTTTTTTTTACAAATACAGAGATATGGTAAAAAGGTGAACCAATGCATATTGAGAAGGTAGATATTCCTAGGAGAAATGTAATTTGGCACCTCGATAGATGGCTAATTGGCATGGAAAAACTGTTGGTCACTCTAAGCCCGCAAGGACTAAAAGGTGACCGCAAGGGAAATTCTCCTAGTATGAGCTATATATCTAATATACATTTTGCTCAACGACCCCCTAAGCCGCTCCGCGAGGTTGTGGACCAACCCCTGAAGGTAACAGAAAAACTTTCTGCCAGTCGGTTAAACCCAAGAAGGCCATTAGGTGAAAAAAGTAAACAAAAACTTCGACATTCGGGCTATGTAAAATGGAGGTAACTTTAAAAAGTAATTTTTTTCAATCAATTTTATACTATTTTTTTTAAAAAGACGAAATTTAGCATTAGTTTGAGTAAGAATTGCATTATACATTAAAGTATATATCCAAAAAAAATTTGTAGAAATGAACTTTGAAAATTAATGTAATATAATATTTGATTTAGACTATCAATGGAGCCTCGGTAGTTTTAATAACCTTGTGAGCAATAAATTTGCAACTATTTTACCAGCATGTGTTTTTTTAAAAACAAAATTATTTTCAAACTTAAGTACTCCACATAACACCTAATTAATTTACCATTCAAATTCTCAAAAGTTCTTTTGAAAACCTAAGCAAAGCTAGGCAGTATGCCTAGTCTATATATAAAAAAAGCAATGTGTTTGTCTGTCTGTATGTTTGTTTTTTATGCATTACTACATCTGCAGAATTGACCACACTAAAAAAAGTAAAAGCTAAGGTTTTACCCTCAACCAATCATCCAATTATTGTCTGCTAAATCTGTTCTCTAGGTCAAACGCAATCTAAAAATAGACACCAGGACTGGCCAATTTTTTCACCTTAGCAATTCAATGCTGACATCAAGTTGGTTATTTTAACACCAAAGGTAGGCACAGGTTTAAAAAAAATATATAGTATAGAATCTAGACTAGATTTAGTCCTAGTAAAGAAACAGTACAGCATTAGGTCAGATAATAGATCCAGCCAGATCAAACTGTTCTTTAGTCAAATAAGTGTTTTTACCTATATCTGGCATGCGTGGCACTAGATTTCTCTTATATTATTAGAAGCCCATGTGAACTTACAAAAAACAAAAATGACCAGAAATAGGCCTGATTTTGCTTGGATGGGGGGGGGGGGGGGAGAAAGAAGCGACATCACTGACGATCTCAAATCCAGATTATGACGTATGCTGAACTCACTGTGACCCAGCCGACCGTGGTGGGATTTAATGCCCACTGGCAAGATAACGTAAGCAAGCAACCATGAGAGCGACAATGTTTGGAAACTATTGAAACTTTAATGGATAAAAAAAAGATTCTAAAATAAAAATGTGACATTAGCAATATGAAAAAAATAAAATATTGTAAGACACTGATTTTCATGATTTGAACTCATAACGCAAGGGCTATCATTATGAAATTTAGCTGCAGCACTGTTGACTCAACCATGCCCAATGTGTTAGAGTTGAGTGTTAGCAAATTAAATATTAAGCATTTTCGATCAGTCGACAGTTAATCCCAAAGGAAATAAAAACTGCTTCATTTTCTTACAGCAGGACAAAATATATATTTTAGATATTTCTCGTTAAATCTAAAAATTTTAATTTAAACATGACCACTAAATAATAGACATCCATATTTAATCCATTAGGCAGTAATTTTGAAGTTTTTAGTTAGTTTTATACTAAATTACTTAATTTAATATTTATTGTCACTCACTGCCATGGTACGACACACCTTTCCATTACAAGCATGTTATATTACTCTTACATCTGAGGCCACGGCAAACCATGAATCTGTTTGACTTTTTAATTGGCTATACACCAGAGTTCCTCACTAGTGATGAACCAAATAGCGGTCACATGGTTTTGAAAAAAAAAAAATTTGTTGTAATATGAACGCCAGTCTAATAAAAAAACAACTCACAATATTTGATTTCTTTTTTCATAGACTGATAAAACTAATAATGCTTTATGTTCTCACTCATATTTGTACCTACACCGTTGATATTTTAAAAGTTCTATTAATTTTACTGAAACCAACTTTTGAATTTAGCCTCCATTCTCCAAACCAAATTTTAAAATGCTTTTCTGGCATATATAGTAGATTTTCTTACTAAATCTAAAATTTACCCAAATTTCAATTTAAACATGACCACTGAATGATAGACATCCATATTTAATCCATTAGGCACTAATTTTGAAGTTTTTAGTTCATTTTAAAATAAATTACTTAATTTAATATTTATTGTCACTCACTGCCATGCACAACACACCTCTCCATGACAACACTTCTTACATTTGAAGCTAAAAAAACCACAAATCCAGTTAGACTTTTTAAGTGGCCATGCACCCAGAGTTCCTCACTAGTGATCATCAAATAGAGGTCACGTGGTTTTAAAAAAATAAATAAATTTGGTTGTCATTCAAAAGCCATGTTTTATAAAAAAAAAGTGGTTAGCAATATTTGATTTCTTTTTACATAGACTGATAAACCTAATAGTTCTACAGACTTCAATTCATTTTTGATAATTAAAAAGTTCTAGTATTTTTAATGAAACCAACTTTTAAATTTAGCCTTCATTCTCCAACGCAAATTTTGAAATGCTTCTCTGGCATATAGATCTAGATCTATAGCCCTGCCACCTATAGTGTGTTGTTATAACATGAAAACCCCACCATTTTGCTCCAGGTAAACATTTTTAAAAGTAATTGAGTAATTGGTAGAAGGTCACTGGAACTTGGCTAAAAAATCGTCGGAAGTCATGTGTCCTATCCAGACGCCATATTGTTGTTAGATACCGACCACGCCTCTAAGTCAGCGAGTAATACTAATATATATATAGAATTATATAGCCCTGCTACCTATGGTTTGTTTTTATAACGCAAAAACCACGCTATTTTGCTTGTGGTAAACATTTTAAACAGTAATTCTAAGAAGGTCACTGGAACTAAGACGAAAAATCGTCGGAAGTCATGCATCCCGTGTGTACGCCATATTGTTGTTAGCAACCGGCCATGGGTTAGCGAGAAATACTATTCTACTGAATTAGAAACTACTAGTACTAGTAACTACTACTACTACTCATTACTACTCGGTACGCTCACCCAACGTTCAACAGTTAGATTCTCTACATCGTTTTAAGAGTAGGCCTACTAAATACTTACAAAAATTGCTTTAACTAGTTTATAAAAAATCAAGTCTGCAGGCTTTTTGTACAGCTTTCTAAATATGTTGCAGGGTTGTAGTTCAGGTACTTGTCTTGCATCGTGATGCAGAACTTGATCATTTACCCACTGTTTACGAAGTGCTCTTAACTCAGGTGTCAAACCCTCTCCGCTTAATCGATTTCTTTCCAATGGTACTGGTTCTATCTCCATTGGAGGATATGCTGACTTCTTAAACCAATCCATCCGCTCTAGTCGTTTAGCTCTTTGAAAGGGTTTTTCCATCACAGGGTCAATTTCTACATGTTTTGAGTCTGCCATTTTCTAATACAACACTAAGGTGACCTAAATCAAGGGAAGCTACTCCAGAATTTTAAGTTTTGTTTTATACTTACTTCGAAACGGAAGAAACGAAACATAAGCTAACTCATAAACTTGTTTTAAAGAATAACTAGGCGAACCGAGATCTAGATCTAGATAGTACTAGACTAGACGACCCAGTATTTATTTCGAAACGGTCTGTCTGCTGCACTGAACAACACAAACCACTGCCACAATCCCATTAATTATGCTCACCTTGTATAGTCTTTTAACACCAAGTGGTATTTTTGAAACTTCTATTTTTTTTTTTTTTTTTTTTTAAATCTATACCGACACTGGCGATAAGTCACTCAACGACAGTCTCGTTGAGAATAGTGTAGGATCGGCTGGTTTGTGCCATCATCAGTAAAAAAAAATGTAATGAGCACAAACATTTATTTACTTTCGAACTGGCAGATCTGTCAACCGTATTAATTCTAACAAAAATTGCTAATATTAAAATATTATGGAATTTAGATCTAACAGACATTTTTAAAAAATCAATCTAGGTATATATATATATATATATATATATATATATATATATATATATATATATATATATATATATATATATATATATATATATATATTTATTTATTTATTTATATATATTTATATATATATACTAGCTGCATCCCGTGCTCCGCACACGGTAAATCTTTTTTAAATGTACCAGCTTTGGAACAGAACAAAACAAACAAAAACATAAACAAAACACAACCACAAACACAACCACAACACAACACAACCACAACACAACCACAACACAACCACAACACAACCACAACAACAACACAACCACAACAACAACACAACCACAACACAACCACAACACAACCACAACACAACCACAACAACAACACAACCACAACAACAACACAACCACAACACAACCACAACACAACCACAACACAACCACAACACAACCACAACCACAACACAACCACTACCACAACATTAGAATCACCACCAAACAACACGCTTTTTTAGGCGTCCGCGCCCAAAGAGAGCCTTTCCGGCATTAAAAATTGAAGTCACATAAATAGATCCTACTCCATAACTTACAATAAAACAATGCGATGCAAATAAATGTACGGCAAGTGGTGTTTACTTTTATGGTTCTAAGAAAACACATTGGCATTGTAATTAGAATCACCACCAAAAAACACGCTTTTCCCAGGCGCCCGCGCCCAGAGAGAGCCTTTCCAGCATTCTCTAAACTATAATTCTAAAATTTCACCATCTGTTAACACCGAAAAACAAAAAAAAACAAGTTAATAAAAAGTCTAGTGACAATTTAAGCGCAATTTCCTTATGTTATCCATAACAATTTTAAATCGAGATAAATCATATATTCAGCAAATAAATAATGCAACACAAGTAGTTTTAATAATTCAAAACAAAATAGAAATCAGTACGGAAATTGCGCTAAAAAGAGACAACTATATTAACCTATATCAACGGAGGCCTACACGATGCTCAGTTTAAAAAGTAGTAAATATCATCCTAGGCCTACACGATGCTCAGTTTAAATGTTCTTAATTAATTTTTTGTGACCGAACGAAAGGATATTTTTGAAAACTTTCTTCTGCAATATTGGTCTAAATTATGGCAGGAATCGATTGGTAAATTGTTCAAGTCGCTAAGTGGTCTGGTTGCCGAGATATGGAGCAAAAACTGCATTTGTTCGAGGTTTTTTGGCTTTTCCGGGAAATCCAGGAAGGAATTCCTGGAATTTTTTTGGCCCACAATCATCCTCGGAACTTGCTTAACATATTTGCTTATGGAACTAGTCCTCAATATTGCTTCGTTGAGGAGGAGATACAACTTAAAGGCTGCGGACACACATTCATACATCCAGAAATGACGAGTTAATAATCGCAATTGTCCGTATGGAAATTGCGCTAAAAAATAGTGATTTGAGAGATCATAGACTAATTAGAAAATAATATAAATAATCTTAACATTTTTCTATTTAACTTATGAACCTTAACATATAATAATCAATGTGGAAGTAATAAAAAAAATTAACTCAAATTATTGAGAGTGAGTTGAATATTAAAAACACGTTTTCCCCGGCGTCTGCGCACAGAGAGAGCCTTTCCATTATTCTCAAAAAGTCTAATTTCAACATCTGTTTTCATAACACCGAAAAACAAAAGCAAAGAAATAAAGATTTTTTTTATTACTACCGCATTGATTAATATATGTTAAGGTTCATAATTGTAGGTAAACCTGTGCCCCGAAAAATATTATTCAAGAAATATAGCCTTTGTTTACATTGTTTACATTTAAATAACCCAGTTTTAGAAAACAAGGTCACACGTCTAAGAATATAGAATTGGTAACGCATTTATGAAACCCTCTTAACATATATTACGTCATACTTTCTTCTGAGACTGCGGCAACGCGCGGGTGAGCACGCTAGTCAAATATATAAAGCTTAATAGTGGATGACATGCAGATAGTAAAAATATTGGACTTGACCGCAAGTGTGTAATATTCTTAAAGTGTTCATGTCATTCATGTGTGTACTGAAATCTTATTTTATTATTACAAAAACTCAATATTGATAGTTTTAAAAATACATTTTCATTTTAAAACTTATCATTTTGATTGACGTCATGTGCAAAGAACAAAATTTAGTTAAATATATTTCCATTTATTTACAAATATTCCAATTTTGTTTTTGCAAAATATACAAATTACGTCTCTGTGTACCATTAAGACTTATGCAACAACAATGTTTTTGTTTTGTTTGCGTTACGTTTGCGTTTTGGTTAGCGTTTGTGTTACATCTGGTTTGTGTTTTCGTTGTGGTTAGGGTTAAATTTAGTTAGGTTTATGATTATGTGTTATTGTCTCAAATGTCCATATTTGCATACAGACATTTAATTGGAAAAGTTATATATTTTCTAAATCCGGGAAATGCCGGGTAGGACTATATACTTTTTAACAAACACACAAGTCCCGGTCCTTTACGGATAGGTTTTTCACAGAGGCCAGTGCAGAACCTGACCCGGGACGGCCAGTGTTTCTTCCAGACTTTTTTCTCCGGGGGGGGGGGTGGGGCGGTAGACTTTCCTCGGGAGGGGGGGGGGGCGGACACTGTTAAAAGTATATATTTCCTATATAAATTATATAAATTTCATTTTGTTCGGGGGGGGGGGCGGTAGACTTTTTTCGGGGATGCCTGGAAGAAACTCTGGGGACGGCTAGTATATCATTTAAGTATATCATTGGGATTTTCCACTATGTACCATCTGTAAGGAAGATGTTTTTTACAAATTATATCTGCATAAGTTTCGGAGCCACGTCTTTAAATTTCAACACGCTGTCAACTCTCCCAGGCTGCCAGATACACAACTAAAGAAAATATTTCCATTTATTTAATTTAGTCTCCGTAAGAAAGTAAAATCATGCCAATTATTATTTTGAATTAAATTATATCCTAATTTAACATCTTCCATTGCTAAGAAACAGATTTATATAAGTTTATTGGTAGTCTAACGGGTTGATCTAAAACTGTGAAGAGTATCCTATTGAAAATAGTTAAGTGTTTGAACCTAATAAAAACAACAGACTTACCGCTAAAGCTATAGCCTACTGAAACTTTAGCTTTAAAATAATGTTTAACTTTTGAATGGGCAACATGGTCTTCTAATAGAAGATCTATGGAAGCCGCATTTTTTGTGAAAATAAGTAAAATTTAAAATATAGTATTTTTTTCTAATTTATTAAAAAAAAAGTATTTTTAAAAATCCACCCACTGTCATCCGTGTGGGATCATAAAAGTGTACTGCTGCAAGGGGTGATGGCTTTCTTTCTATGATTGCTGGTTGAAGTGATAGATGAAACTACCATGCAACTTGTAAGGGGTGATAGCTTTCTATGATTGCTGGTACAAGTGATAGATCAAACTACCATGCAAGTTGTAAGGGGTGATGGCTTTCTTTCTATGATTGCTGGTTGAAGTGATAGATGAAACTACCAAGTAAGTTGTAAGGGGTGATGGCTTTCTTTCTATGATTGCTGGTACAAGTGATAGATCAAACTACCATGCAAGTTGTCAAGTATGTGGAGTGAAAAAGTGACCAGAAAGATGCGCAACGAAAAAAAAGCGCAAACAGTAATTTGCGAACACAAACAGAAAAATGCGCAACCAGAAAAATGCGAACACAGAAATTTGCGCTAACAAAAAAATTGTTCACATAGAAAAATGCGCGAATAAGAAAATTATGAACACAGAAAATGACACACAAGTTTTTCATCAGTTATGAGTGTGACAATGTGTGTATATGTGTGTTTATTCTTGCATGTTTAAGTTGGTCTTTGTATTTGTTTGTATACTGACGTATATATTTTATTCTCATTCCTTTATATTTTAACCATTAATGTCCCATTCATTCTACCAAAACTCCACCCATGACGGCCCAATGTAAGGAGCATAACTCTGTATGATCAAGTGAATAGTTTCACAAAATATTTGTTTTTGTCTAAATGAAATAGAAAATTAAGATAAAAAGTACTGCTTAATGTTGGGAATAAACCTGGCTTTCCAACAGTATTAAATAGAATATATTATATTCGGTACAAGTACAGAATAAAAATAAAAAATGTCGGAGAAAATTCAAAACAGGTCATTTTCGGTAGTCAACTTTATTTATTTTTGTCTAAACAACTATGCATCGAATTTAACAGTTAAATATCAATTTGGTTATGTTTAAGATATATAATTCATAAAATACATGCCTAGATACGTCTAGAGACATTATTTTATTTTATTTTTAATATTAAATCTACTAAAAATAGGACAGATGAGTCTAAAATTTCGAGATAGAAAGAAACTATTATTTTTTATCTTTGAAAAGCGCCATTGAAATTAGAAGACCGGAAAAGGATGCTGAAACTATCTGACTTCCTGTTTAGTTAAAAATTAGGATTTGTAAGCCAAATTTTAATGAAACAAATTAAATTTTTCTATGCGTATTGTAAGCGGGCGGCAGCGGGCGTTACGGGACATTAACGGTGTCGGGCGGCAGCGGGCGTTACGGGACATTAATGGTTTTAAAAAATGCTACTGTTCATTCTAAAATGCATAGAAACATAAATTGCTAATGTTTTCCGATCATTCATACATAGATGTTGACCGAAGGTGTTTCGGCCATAGATAATTGGCCCACACGTTGTCTGACAACAGCGAAGGGTTGTCCACTGGCAATTTGTAAACCAGGGCTGTGTAAACACAGATGATAGGACCAAACGTGGTTTGTACGACTAAGCCTACACCGACCGTCGACCAAACGAAGAGCCGACTGACCGACCCTGCCACCCGCCTGTCTATATGTCTTTCCGTGCGTCCGTCAGTCCACCCATTTCTCTACAGTTATAAAAAAAACGGGGGGGGGGAGAGCTGGGGGGCTAAGAAAATAAAGAGTCCACCCTGCTTATTTTTCGACATGTTCAAATGGAGGTAGTCCTATTTTTGCACATCTCTCTTTTAGTTGACCTGAAAACTGGTATTCCAATGACAATAGAATTCGCATGATATCTAAATGTATAGACGGACGGACGGATAGGTAGCCAAGGTGTGTGGATGGGTCATTCGGTCCATTGGTAGGTGTTAATGTAGGTATATTTGTAAGTGTATGTGCAGGCTTAGTTAAGCAAATCACCACTGGTCAAATAACCTGTGATCAACACCCGCGGTGAACAAACTGCCTGTGGTCAACCCTTGCCTGTGGTCAAACAACATGTGGGCTCATCACCTTTTGTCAAACAGTATCTATAATCAGAAAATCTGAGGAATTTGTTATTCTATTTATTTTAGAAAATTATGCCGCATTTATTATTAAATAAAAATATAGAGACGTTGAAATGAAATAGGCACGTACATACTAAAACATGCACACACACAACACACGCACATTCCCATAATTTTCATTGGTGAGCGATCTGTGTGTAGTTTCCTGTGTGCGTACATTTTTATTTTGGTGTTTGCTGTGTGCGCACATTCCGCTTTGCACATTTTTCTGTTGTGCATATTTTTGTGCGCTTTTTTTCCATTATGCATGTTTCTGTGAACCAAGTGAAAACCACGGTCTTTTACATGACATTTTTATCTCACAGCTTGCAGTATACTTTTAGTTTGTTGTCATAGAAACCTAATCAAACATCAGCCAACATGTATTTTTTGGACATTTTAAAAAGTTTTTATTTTAATTTGAAGTTACAATATCCATATTTAAACCCCAACGTACTTTTTCTTGGTTTTATTTTTAAACTTAAATTTGTATTATGATGAGTTGATTGCGATCTATATAACAGAAGGGTGAGGATTAGCTTTGTACTTGTATACTATCTTTTGACTTACTAAACTTTCTCATGATTTTATTTTACATCTTTACATTATCTTAATGCAAAAAAAAAAAAAAACTAGAAAATTAAAAAAATATAAATAGTTATAATAATAAGCTTTGAATCAAATACACTATACATCAAATAAGAATTGTTATTCTTTTTCATAATTTTCAACAGTAACAAATCACATTTTTAAGTTAGCACTATAATTATAGACATCAAAGATTTGACAAACTATACAACGTCAGAATTAGTCAAGGCCATAAGGATGGCACCATAGAAATATATAGATCTATGCCAAAACCAAATTAGAACAGTTCAATGACTGCTTGTTTTGGTACTAATTTTCTTTTGGTGATCAATGAAGGTGGGGTCAAAACAGGTGGGGTCAACACAGCATTGTTTCTATCTGTGTAGCCAAATTTCTTTAAGACCAGCTGCATATTAATCCTTCTGGAATGTTTATGACTGTAGATAGAAATTATTCAACTGCATCTGGTTCATTCCTACAAATGATGGAAATCCGCCGGTCTCGTGGGACTATCTGGTGTTTGAAAACAGACTCCTCACTTTTCAGGACTTCATGAGTGAACTCATACCTTGCCCTACCCCTGAAATACAAAACAGACTCCTCACTTTTCAGGACTTCATGAGTCAACTCATACCTTGCCCTACCCCTGAAATTCAAATGGATTCATGCCGTAACACAAAGATTGCATTAGTTCACAGATTCATACAATTGCAGATATAAAATCCTAAATAAAATACCTCATGACATATAAGCAGCGACGAGGTAGGTACACATCGCCATATTTAGAGCTGTCTTTCTCCAGAGCCAGCCGCATGACACAAGATGAAAGTAGGCAGAGGCCAGCGATGGTATCACCGCAGAACTGGGCAGTAAATTAATGCCAACACAAGTTAAGAAACAACATGACTGTAGGCCGACATTTATGTGATAAATATGTTGTCAAAACACTAATCTAGTTCAATTTTTGTTGACTAAACCTAACAGGTCTTTTAGCAAATTGCAAAATGAGTGAACCTGACAAAAGAAATAATTCTGCATCTAATAACTTTACTTTTTGAGTAGGTGTAAAGACAAAATGTAACAATATAAGGGACCTACTCTAACAGCATCCACATGTGGTTTAATAAAGCCTTCTTTAGAAATATCTAAGATGGGACCTAACAGCATCCACATGTGGTTTAATAAAGCCTTCTTTAGAAATATCTAAGATGGGACTTACTCTAATAGCATCCACATGTGGTTTAATAAAGCCTTCTTTAGAAATATCTAAGATGGGACCTAACAGCATCCACATGTGGTTTAATAAAGCCTTCTTTAGAAATATCTAAGATGGGACCTAACAGCATCCACATGTGGTTTAATAAAGCCTTCTTTAGAAATATCTAAGATGGGACCTAACAGCATCCACATGTGGTTTAATAAAGCCTTCTTTAGAAATATCTAAGATGGGACCTAAAAGCATCCACATGTGGTTTAATAAAGCCTTCTTTAGAAATATCTAAGATGGGACCTAACAGCATCCACATGTGGTTTAATAAAGCCTTCTTTAGAAATATCTAAGATGGGACTTACTCTAATAGCATCCACATGTGGTTTAATAAAGCCTTCTTTAGAAATATCTAAGATGTGTACATGAGGGAGAGGGACATCGTCCTTGCTGAAAACTTGTTGACGAAAGCGCTCAATGATTTTTGTATTTTTCTCACTCCACGTCAACTTTTCTGTCTCTCTGTAGCCATGGATAGCCTAAAATAAAATGAGTCAGTGAGTTATACAAATATTTTAAATATCTAGGCTGGTGACAGGACAAATGATCTCAGGACAAATGATCTCAGACAAAAGATCTCAGGACAAATGATCACAGACAAAAGATCTCAGACAAAAGATCTCAGACAAAAGATCTCAGGACAAATGATCTCAGACAATTGATCTCAGGACAAAAGATCTCAGACAAAAGATCTCAGGACAAATGATCTCAGACAAAAGATCTCAGACAAAAGATTTCAGGACAAATGATCTCAAGGACAAATGATCTCAGGACAAAAGATCTCAGACAAAAGATCTCAGACAAAAGATCTCAGACAAAAGATCTCAGGACAAAAGATCTCAGACAAAAGATCTCAGACAAAAGATCTCAGGACAAAAGATCTCAGACAAAAGCTCTCAGGACAAAAGATCTCAGGACAAATGATCTCAGACAAAAGATCTCAGGACAAATGATCACAGACAAAAGATCTCAGACAAAAGATCTCAGACAAAAGATCTCAGGACAAATGATCTCAGACAATTGATCTCAGGACAAAAGATCTCAGACAAAAGATCTCAGGACAAATGATCTCAGACAAAAGATCTCAGACAAAAGATTTCAGGACAAATGATCTCAAGGACAAATGATCTCAGGACAAAAGATCTCAGACAAAAGATCTCAGACAAAAGATCTCAGACAAAAGATCTCAGGACAAAAGATCTCAGACAAAAGATCTCAGACAAAAGATCTCAGGACAAAAGATCTCAGACAAAAGCTCTCAGGACAAAAGATCTCAGGACAAATGATCTCAGACAAAAGATCTCAGGACAAATGATCTCAGACAAAAGATCTCAGACAAAAGATCTCAGACAAAAGATCTCAGGACAAATGATTTCAGACAAAATATCTCAGACAAAATATCCCACAGCAAAATTTAATAGTGTATTTGATGATTTTAGTTGATCTGAACATTTTTTATTAACTGTCATATGGTATTGTTTACTATATTAAATATTGTTTATAGGCCTATTTAACAATTGTAAGAAATGTTTGCCGCATACATTTGCCATATTGCACTAAACATTTTAAAATTAGCATTAGTAATAAAGTATGGGAAGATAAAGGAATTTTGCGATAGACAGGGTAGGTTTGAGTTTGCCAAACATGAGACAATCCTACCATGTCAGGTGGACGAAACTAGATCAAAGGGAATAAAATAACAATAGACACACCTTCGATTCAAGGTGGCCGCCCGCTTTGACGGCTGAGACATGCCTTAAGGGAAAGACATCCGCCCTCCATGGACATTACAACTAGTATCTAAATTCAATAGTTATGCGTCGGTCACACCTTAGTGATTAGGTGACAAATGCTTATTTAAACAACAGGGGTCATGGCGGAGCTAAGTTTGTCATAGTGTGTCTGCAAACAAAGCAGTATTAGTGGTCATAGCGGAGCTAAGTTTGTCATAGTGTGTCTGCAAACAAAGCAGTATTAGTGGTCATGGCGGAGCTAAGTTTGTCATAGTGCGTCTGCAAACAAAGCAGTATTTTGGGTCATGGCGGAGCTAAGTTTGTCATAGTGTGTCTGCAAACAAAGCAGTATTTGTGGTCATGGCGGAGCTAAGTTTGTCATAGTGTGTCTGCAAACAAAGCAGTATTTTGGGTCATGGCGGAGCTAAGTTTGTCATAGTGTGTCTGCAAACAAAGCAGTATTAGTGGTCATGGCGGAGCTAAGTTTGTCATAGTGCGTCTGCAAACAAAGCAGTATTTTGGGTCATGGCGGAGCTAAGTTTGTCATAGTGCGTCTGCAAACAAAGCAGTATTTGTGGTCATGGCGGAGCTAAGTTTGTCAAAGTGTCTGCAAACAAAGCAGTATTTTGGGTCATGGCGGAGCTAAGTTTGTCAAAGTGTCTGCAAACAAAGCAGTATTTGTGGCGGAGCTAAGTTTGTCAAAGTGTCTGCAAACAAAGCAGTATTTGTGGCGTAGCTAAGTTTGTCAAAGTGTCTGCAAACAAAGCAGTATTTGTGGCGGAGCTAAGTTTGTCAAAGTGTCTGCAAACAAAGCAGTAATTGTGGTAATTACTCAGCTATGGCCTCTTGTGTGACACCAAAGAAAAGTTTTAAGAAATTGTTTCTGGTCAATTTCTGTGTTTAAAAGCCAGAAGTGGAGCAGCAGGCAAAGAGGTTTGGAAATGTGAAGTTAGAACATGTCGAGCAAGAGTTCACACAATACATGATCACATAGTATTGGAGACGTGTGATCATAACGATGTACCTGCTGGCATAGAAACTTAAGCGTTATGTTTGTGTTGATGATGCAATAAAAACAATAGCTTTACATGAAGACCCATTCACATTTTTGTAAATATTTCGCGTATTTTGAACAATAATGTTGTATAGCTACCGTTACATTATTTACTTTATACATTATCATTTATTATACCTTTCATGAGTAAGATTGTTTTAATTTTTTACTTTTTCAAATCAAATACTACTACAAAGATTAAGTTTAATAAATCTTTTGATGCTTTGTTATGTTTAATAACAAATTCATTTTATTCACAATTATTAATAATAATAATATTATGCGTAAAAAAGTAAACAAAACCTTATTGACAGTCAATTTTTTAAAAAGTTCAAATCAACTTAAATCTTCGTACATACTATTAAAATTTTACTGTGAGATATTTTGTCTGAGATATTTTGTCTGAGATCATTTGTCCATGGTATCATTTGTCCTGATATATTTTGTCCTGGTATCTTTTGTCCGTGAGATCATTTGTCCTTGAGATCATTTGTCCTGAGATCATTTCTCCGTGAGATATTTTGTCTGAGATATTTTGTCTGAGATCATTTGTCCTGAGATCATTTGTCATGGAACCATCTAGGCTATATTTGGATAACTATAATTCATGCCAAAAATATCTTTGTAATCCCATTAGAGTGCCTCAAGGCAAACAGCAGACTATTTAATGAAGCATTGATTATTCTTACATCGTCCCAGTGATCAGTGAGGTACCTCTGTCTCTTCAAACTTCTCTCCACTTCATCTAGCAAAGAAGTTTCTTCTTCTTCTGACAGAAAGTCGTTGTGCACTTTCATATCACGAACTAGTATGTTCATAATACTAGGGTCTCTAGCATCCAAGTAACTCGGGCTTTGTACGGAGGAGCTTTCATGAGTCGAGGAACACCGCACTGTTGGAGGGGAGATAAGGCATTCTTTTTTTCTGCTCTTTAGCTGGATAAAGGTGGATGTAGATTGACTCAAACTTTTTACTGCCGCAGTGGGGGGATTGAGGAAATAATGGCCAAGTAAAGTTCTTTGAGTGGACCGTTGAAAAATAAACAAACATGCTTGATATATATTTTCCATCTGTCTTTATAGTTTCACCTTAGAAAGAAAAATAATAATGCATTTATTGCAAATGAAGTATTTACAAAAAATCATTTTACTGAAATAATTAATGAATGAAAATGGTAAGTGCAATTGAGAATGATGGGGTTTTTTTTGTGGCAAGTGTAAATGTGGTTTAACTAGTTCAAAAGAGTCGAGTACACTTAGTACTGGAAATCTAGTAGTACTATCATCACATTTATTAAGTACTAGATAATAACAAGCTTTTAAAAGCACTGAAAAAAAGAAAATAAAACAAACTTGCTTTCTTTTTTCAAAAAAAGCACTGGTCGCTAAAATATTTGAGAGATCTGACGAGTGAACAAAGCTTATAGTTTTATTCAAGAAAGCAAGTTTGTTTTATTTTCTTATTTTCAGAGCTTTTAAAAGGTTGATATAAAGTTTTTATATATATTTTATTTTCAACTTAGCGATTAATTAATAAAATGATGCAACATGTGTACCCTCATTATAAATAGAGGGCCTATAATTAATATGTATGCTAATAGAGGAGAAACTTTAGCCTACTATTAAAAATTACTGTTATTCCCCCCCCCCCCCCCCCCAATATAATGGTTATATTTTTGGAGGCAACCGAGCTGACAAGATTCTTTCCATCATATTGTTGACATGGATTATTAAAAGGTTTTTTGATTTTGCAATCAAAACGACCATAAAAATAATAAAAAATACAAACTTAAGCCTAAAAATAATCCCGAAATTTAATATTTTTAGAATAAATGTTATAAAAGTTGCAAATCTAGAGAACTTGAAAATAAATTTTTGAGTTAAAGGCTATAGGCCCTATTTGTATTTATTTTCATCAAGCCTAAGATATAACCCGATGTTTCACTGTCGTAAGACAAACATTTTTTTTTTACATTGATTGGGTGTACAGGAACTCTGTGATCAATTTCTGACAACCCCACATCATAGTTCCACTAACCGGAAGTAGAGCTTATTGTACTTTTAATTTTTCAAAGCCAATATAACTTGGGAACTGTTTAAGACAGATGAATGAAATTTCGCATAGAAGTAAAAGATCTAATTCTCTACCTTCTCTCAAATTTTGAGTAATTTCTGTTGACCGGAAGTAGTAATTTACTCTATTTCCGATTTCTTAAAAAAAGCATATGAATGTATTAAGTACCAATAATAGTTCGCACTATTATACACATATTGTTTGACATTCACTTGGTGAGCAATTCTTTTTTTCAACAAGATTCTATTTAAAAAGTTTCATTAATTAAAAATGAATTAAAATCATGTCTATATCCCTAGTTGCCATCCCCTAAAGTGTTATATAAGAATATTCGAGAAAGTCTAGGGGAGATCTCTCCCACTTTATTTTGTTTACAATAAAATTTATGCTAGCCTATCGAATAGCAGGATGCCATTATTTATGTTGCGGCAACATTGTTGCCATTACATGTGAAAACCAAATTGTTTTTGCTTTTTTTCATTTTTATTTAGTTACATAAAATATTAAAAACATCAAATCTATAGTAAAGTCCGAAAAAATCAGACAGGATTTTCTAAATCAAAGCCCCCCCCCCAAAAAACTTTTTACCGCCCTTCCCCCCCGAACGAAATGAAATTTATATAATTTATATAGAAAATATATACTTTTAACAGTGTCCGCCCCCCCCCCCCCGAAAATTTCGAGTGCCCCCCCCCCCCAGAGAAAAAAGTCTGGAAGAAACACTGCTCTGCACGCAACTGAATGTTAATTTTGTTATACCAAGACAAGTAGGCCTACATATACGACATCTACAACAAGAAAGTAAGGACTAGCGTTCATCAGGTCACTAACTGTCTACTACAGGCATCCCGTCTGCTCACTAATAGGACGTCTTATTCAGCATCACTTTATGTGTTTCCCAAATTTACATCCTATGTCAGGTCGGGGGCTGATTCTCGTACAACTATCTCCAGTCAGCTCAGGTCAAATGCGAGGCAACCGTACCCTACAAAAAGGGGAGGTGTGACACTGTTTTTGTATCGAATTACGGCCTTTCCCAGTTCAGATGGGTGATAACTCACAAACATCAACCGTGGCCTCAGTTATATAACAATCAACAACGTCGGCATTCGACCATTTAGTTTTTCCCAATTGAATTCAGCAACAATTAATTTAAATTTACAAACTAATTCAGATAACAATGACAGTGCTGAAGCGCGGGGCCCCTTCAAGCGCGGGGCCTAGGCCGGCCTAGGGCGACCGCCCCGTTTGCCACCCCCCCTAACTTAGGCCCGGGCCTAACGCCGGCTCTGCCAAAACTATAATAATAAACTAATTTAATATAGTTGTAACTAAGTAATAGATCTAGATGATGTGTAGGTTTAAATCAATAAATCCACCTTAGCCAACCATATTCAACTTTCGCTATTATTTCACTTCACTTTGCCTAGGTCAAGATATAGATCTAGATTCTAGACTAGATTCTACTTTCACTTACGGGCGTAAGTTACGGGTCAGGGTCAAAGGACAAAGGAAAAAAAAACATCCGGCAAAAGAAATCAGCTTAAAAAAAATATCTAGATCACAATTTAACACAATTCTTAGTATAACATTTATTTTCATTTTTACTAATAATCGTATCCTCGTCCATGTATTTATTTATAGTTTATAGGCCTAAACATTTCACGTCAATTAACTGCAGAATATTTAAGGGAGACAACTGGTCGTTCATAGCAACCTGTGTCAACTTTTTTTAATGCAGTTAGTTGATACTTATTTCTCACTTCAACTATCGGAAACATTTAAATGGTAATTGCTGTTGTGTTGGCTCTATTTTACTTGTAATATCTCTGGCAAAAAATATTCTTGCTCTTCCGATATAAATTTAATTTAAAATCTAATACAAGCCTATTAACTATTACCGACACTTAGACTAGACTCTAGACACTTACTTTAATAGAATTAGAATTAGGCCTAATTAGTAACAAATAATATAGATTTAATAATAAATTATTATAAATAATAGTTCAATACTTCAATAGTCAACACACAATTCTACAAATTAAATTAAACAGGCATACTTATTACTTAACTTATTTATTACTTATAGTAGGCCTATATAGTTACTTAAAACTTATACTTATAGTTCATAAGTGACATAAGGCCGTCAACCAGAAGTGGTACTTATTCGACCTTTGGTTTAAAAAAGCCTGTAGGCCTAAGCTGAGTTCCATTTAAGTTAGGTGGACCAAAAATGTTTGTTTTATTTTCTTGCTTTCAGTGCTTTTAAAAGCTTATTGTTATTAAGGCTTTTATATATTATATTAGTGTTACTACTACTGTCACACTTTTAAAATTTCTTTTGTATGCATTGGAAGCCACTTTTTAAATGATTTTAAATTGTTCTGTGTGTTAATAAAAGAATGTATTTGTGTGTGTTTAGCTACTGTTGGAGTAAAACCAAGGAAAAATGTCCATTGCTATTGCACAAGCCAGATACATATTTGGCCTCAAGTCTGGGGTGTCAGGCAACATCTGCTATCATGATGAGCAGACTATTGTCTACCCAGCTGGCTCCAACTGCATTCTTTACAACACTGATCAAAAGACACAAAAGTTCATTCCAGGTAAAGACATATTTTCTTTGATTATAATTATATCCTATTTCAAGCTATGTTAGCTGCACTAAGTGTTCATGCTATTTTTGATGATGATTTAACCTCCCTGCCTCCTCCCCCCCCCCCCCCCACCACCCATCATCACACATTGTCACAAAGAGCCAGACAACCATGCTGATGACTGGATTAAGTAGCTGACAATTGGATTGGTTCAAACAAATGTTCTCTCCTTTTCTTTCTAGGCACAGACAAGAGTGAAGAAATGACTGCCTTATGTGTCAGTCCTAATCGCAGATATGTGGCTATAGCTGAGAGAGGGGAAAAACCAATGATTACAATTTATGATCTTCATTCACTGCGTAAGAAAAAAGTTTTGAGCTCTAACGAGGTGCAGTCCAGTGAATTTGTGAGCCTGGCATTCTCTCCTGACTCTAAGTACCTGGTGGGCCAAAGTGGCAAGCCTGACTGGACCCTTGTCTACTGGACTTGGGAGAAGTCCAAGATCATGGCATCAATCAAAACTTCAAACCCACAAAATCCTAATTCTGAAGTCTATCAGGTAGGGAAGAAAAAGTCCTTTTGGTTTTGACCTCAAATATTGGTTATTCTTGTTTAAGTTTTTAAAACATTGATATCTGTGAATATTTTTTGGAATGTAATACTAATTTATTTTAAATGTGAAAATAGATCCACAAAGCTACTGTATATTTTCCTCATTTTCACGTGTAATATTTTGCCATCATCAAATGTAAATATCTCCCCATTTTCATATGTAAATGTTTTCTGAAATATTTCCCCATGGTCACATGTTTTGTTAATACAGGTCAGCTTCAATCCACAAGACAACACACAGTTGTGTGTGGTGGGCAATACAGTGTTTAAATATCTGCGCTACAGTGAGGGAAATTTAAAACCTTTCAATTTTCAAAAGACTGAGCCCCAAAACTACTTGTGCCACGCATGGGTGTCTGAGGATAGAATCGTTGTGGGCACAGACTCAGGCAAGCTGCTGCTCTTTGAAGCTGGAGAGCTCAAGAAAGAATATAACCTTGCCAACATTGAGGCGTAAGAAAATAAGAAAGAATAACATTCATTACTAACATCATAAATAATAACATTCATCGCTAACATCTTACTGTAGCTAAAGTTTATCAGACATTTTATACTTACTTGTATTCACTTATTACATGTGTACATGGTGTACCCACACGATTTGTCCAACATTATTTGTCCAACATTATTTGTCCAACATTATTTGTCCAACATGATTTGTCCAACATGATTTGCCCAACATTATTTGTCCAACATGATTTGTCCAACATGATTAGTCCAACATGATTTGTCCAACATGATTAGTCCAACATGATTTGTCCAACATTATTTAATTTTGTGTAGATCTGTCGATGAAAGCACATCCACCATTGAAGCTGCACAGATCGGGGCCATTGTATCATTCTCCAAAGGCTTTGCGTGTGCTTTTGGTCAAGGAACTGTTTATTTATTTGAAAAATCTGAGGACAAAGACTTCTTCAAGAAAACCAGAGAAATAATGGTTTGTTGTCTTCAAGTTTATGCTGTTCATCTCAAACCAAATTTTTGTAGACAGTGACATTTTTGCAGTTTAATCCTAGAACCAAAGCCTTGAAAGCCTCATAGTAGATTCAACTAGACAACCAATCATGTACCAACCACACAGCCACACATGTACCAACCACACAGCCACACATCACATGTACCAACCACACAGCCACACATCACATGTACCAACCACACAGCCACATGTACCAACCACACAGCCACACATGTACCAACCACACAGCCACATGTACCAACCACACATCACATGTACCAACCACACAGCCACACATGTACCAACCACACAGCCACACATGTACCAACCACACATCACATGTACCAACCACACAGCCACACATGTACCAACCACACAGCCACACATGTACCAACCACACAGCCACACATGTACCAACCACACATCACATGTACCAACCACACAGCCACATGTACCAACCACACAGCCACATATACCAACCACACAACCACATGTACCAACCATGGCGCTAAGTTTTGAATGTACCATTCCAGATTCCCCCAGATCTGTGCAACAGTCAGGACCCGTCCATATCCCAGCAACAAATGTTTCGCTGCCTGACAGTCAGTCCATCAGAGGAGACTTTGATTGGCAGCACGGACCAGTGTCAGTTGTATTACCTGACTTTGTCTAGTGCTGACCTGACTAAAGTAAGCCTTGAACTGACTAAAGTAAGCTGTGACCTAACTAAAGTAAGCCATGACCTGACTCTGTCTAGTGCTGACTTGACTAAAGTAAGCCATGACCTGACTCTTTCTAGTACTGACCTGACTAAAGTAAGCCATGACCTGACTCTGTCTAGTGCTGACTTGACTAAAGTAAGCCATGACCTGACTCTGTCTAGTGCTGACTTGACTAAAGTAAGCCATGACCTGACTCTGTCTAGTGCTGACCTGACTAAAGTAAGCCATGACCTGACTCTGTCTAGTGCTGACCTGACTAAAGTAAGCCATGACCTGACTCTGTCTAGTGCTGACTTGACTAAAGTAAGCTGTGACCTAACTAAAGTAAGCCATGACCTGACTCTGTCTAGTGCTGACCTGACTCAAGTAAGCCATGACCTGACTTTGTCTAGTGCTGACCTGACTAAAGTAAGCTGTGACCTAACTAAAGTAAGCCATGACCTGACTAAAGTAAGCCATGACCTGACTCTGTCTAGTGCTGACCTGACTAAAGTAAGCTGTGACCTAACTAAAGTAAGCCATGACCTGACTCTGTCTAGTGCTGACCTGACTAAAGTAAGCTGTGACCTAACTAAAGTAAGCCATGACCTGACTCTGTCTAGTGCTGACCTGACTAAAGTAAGCTGTGACCTAACTAAAGTAAGCCATGACCTGACTAAAGTAAGCCATGACCTGACTCTGTCTAGTGCTGACCTAACTAAAGTAAGCTGTGACCTGACTAAAGTAAGCCATGACCTAACTAAAGTAAGCCTTGAACTGACTAAAGTAAGCCTTGAACTGACTAAAGTAAGCCTTGAACTGACTAAAGTAAGCCATGAACTGACTAAAGTAAGCCTTGAACTGACTAAAGTAAGCCTTGAACTGACTAAAGTAAGCCATGAACTGACTAAAGTAAGCCATGAAATGACTAAAGTAAGCCTTGAACTGACTAAAGTAAGCCTTGAACTGACTAAAGTAAGCCTTGAACTGACTAAAGTAAGCCATGAACTGACTAAAGTAAGCCATGAAATGACTAAAGTAAGCCATGAACTGACTAAAGTAAGCCTTGAACTGACTAAAGTAAGCCATGAAATGACTAAAGTAAGCCTTGAACTGTTCAAACTCTCTCAGGGCGACCAAGCCAATTTTGAAGTCTTGTCTCAAGTGTTCCACAACGCACCCGTCACAGGTTTGGATGTCTGCATAAGAAAACCTTTGATCGCAACATGCTCTATGGACAGATCCGTCAAGATATGGAACTATGAAACCTGGTATGGCAGCATTAGAGTCAAAAACATTTTTTATGTTAACATCTGTTTTGGCAAATGGTTTTTGATTTTTTGCTTTTCCCTGAAGCAATCTGGAGTTGTACAAGGTATTTGCTGAGGAAGCTTACAGCATTGCCCTCCACCCCTCAGGCCTGTACATTCTGGTTGGGTTTAGTGACAAACTCCGGCTGATGAACCTGCTCATTGATGACATCAGAACCTTTAAAGAGTTTACTGTTCGAGGCTGCAGGGAGGTAATAATCAAATGCAGTATGTGTGTGCTGGAGTGTGTGTGTGTGTGCTGTAGTGTGTGTGTGCTGTAGTGTGTGTGTGCTGTAGTGTGTGTGTGTGTGTGCTGCAGTGTGTGTGTGCTGTAGTGTGTGTGTGCTGTAGTGTGTGTGTGCTGTAGTGTGTGTAGTGTGTGCTGCAGTGTGTGTGTGTTGTAGTGTGTGTGTGCTGTAGTGTGTGTGTGCTGTAGTGTGTGTGTGCTGCAGTGTGTGTGTGCTGTAGTGTGTGTGTGCTGTAGTGTGTGTGTGCTGTAGTGTGTGTGTGCTGTAGTGTGTGTGTGCTGCAGTGTGTGTGTGTTGGAGTGGGTGTGTGCTGTAGTGTGTGTGTGCTGTAGTGTGTGTGTGCTGCAGTGTGTGTGTGCTGTAGTGTGTGTGTGCTGCAGTGTGTGTGTGCTGTAGTGTGTGTGTGTGTGCTGTAGTGTGTGTGTGTGTGTGTGTGTGTGTGTGTGCTGCAGTGTGTGTGTGCTGCAGTGTGTGTGTGTGTGCTGCAGTGTGTGTGTGCTGCAGTGTGTGTGTGTGTGCTGCAGTGTGTGTGTGTGTGCTGTAGTGTGTGTGTGTGTGTGTGTGCTGTAGTGTGTGTGTGCTGTAGTGTGTGTGTGCTGTAGTGTGTGTGTGCTGTAGTGTGTGTGTGCTGCAGTGTGTGTGTGTGTGCTGCAGTGTGTGTGTGTGTGCTGCAGTGTGTGTGTGTGTGCTGTAGTGTGTGTGTGTGTGCTGTAGTGTGTGTGTGTGTGTGTGCTGTAGTGTGTGTGTGTGTGTGCTGTAGTGTGTGTGTGCTGTAGTGTGTGTGTGCTGTAGTGTGTGTGTGCTGTAGTGTGTGTGTGCTGCAGTGTGTGTGTGCTGCAGTGTGTGTGTGTGCTGTAGTGTGCTGTAGTGTGTGTGTGCTGTAGTGTGTGTGTGCTGTAGTGTGTGTGTGCTGTAGTGTGTGTGTGTTGTAGTGTGTGTGTGCTGTAGTGTGTGTGCTGTAGTGTGTGTGTGCTGCAGTGTGTGTGTGCTGTAGTGTGTGTGTGTTGCAGTGTGTGTGTGCTGTAGTGTGTGTGTGTGTGTGCTGCAGTGTGTGTGTGTGTGTGTGCTGCAGTGTGTGTGTGTGTGTGCTGTAGTGTGTGTGTGTTGTAGTGTGTGTGTGCTGTAGTGTGTGTGTGTTGTAGTGTGTGTGTGCTGTAGTGAGTGTGCTGTAGTGTGTGTGTGCTGCAGTGTGTGTGTGTGTGCTGTAGTGTGTGTGTGTTGCAGTGTGTGTGTGCTGTAGTGTGTGTGTGTGTGTGCTGCAGTGCGTGTGTGTGTGCTGTAGTGTGTGTGTGCTGCAGTGTGTGTGTGTGTGTGCTGCAGTGTGTGTGCTGTAGTGTGTGTGTGCTGTAGTGTGTGTGTGTGTGCTGTAGTGTGTGTGTGTTGTAGTGTGTGTGTGCTGCAGTGTGTGTGTGCTGTAGTGTGTGTGTGCTGTAGTGTGTGTGTGCTGCAGTGTGTGTGCTGTAGTGTGTGTGTGCTGTAGTGTGTGTGTGCTGTAGTGTGTGTGTGCTGTAGTGTGTGTGTGTTGTAGTGTGTGTGTGCTGTAGTGTGTGTGTGCTGTAGTGTGTGTGTGCTGTAGTGTGTGTGTGCTGCAGTGTGTGTGTGCTGTAGTGTGTGTGTGTGCTGCAGTGTGTGTGTGTGCTGTAGTGTGTGTGTGTTGTAGTGTGTGTGTGCTGTAGTGTGTGTGTGTGTTGTAGTGTGTGTGTGCTGTAGTGTGTGTGTGCTGTAGTGTGTGTGTGCTGCAGTGTGTGTGTGTGTGCTGTAGTGTGTGTGTGTGTTGCAGTGTGTGTGTGCTGTAGTGTGTGTGTGTGTGTGCTGCAGTGTGTGTGTGTGCTGCAGTGTGTGTGTGCTGCAGTGTGTGTGTGCTGTAGTGTGTGTGTGTGTGCTTCAGTGTGTGTGCTGTAGTGTGTGTGTGCTGTAGTGTGTGTGTGTGCTGTAGTGTGTGTGTGCTGTAGTGTGTGTGTGTTGTAGTGTGTGTGTGCTGTAGTGTGTGTGTGCTGTAGTGTGTGTGTGCTGTAGTGTGTGTGTGCTGCAGTGTGTGTGTGCTGTAGTGTGTGTGTGTGTGCTGCAGTGTGTGTGTGTGCTGTAGTGTGTGTGTGTTGTAGTGTGTGTGTGTTGTAGTGTGTGTGTGCTGTAGTGTGTGTGTGCTGTAGTGTGTGTGTGCTGCAGTGTGTGTGTGTGCTGTAGTGTGTGTGTGTTGCAGTGTGTGTGTGCTGTAGTGTGTGTGTGTGTGTGCTGCAGTGTGTGTGTGCTGTAGTGTGTGTGTGCTGCAGTGTGTGTGTGCTGCAGTGTGTGTGCTGCAGTGTGTGTGTGTGTGCTGCAGTGTGTGTGCTGTAGTGTGTGTGTGTGTGTGTGCTGCAGTGTGTGTGTGCTGTAGTGTGTGTGTGTTGAAGTGGGTGTGTGCTGGTGTGTGTGTGTGCTGGAGTGTGTGTGTGCTGGAGTGTGTGTGTGTGCTGGAGTGTGTGTGTGCTGCAGTGTGTGTGTGTGTGCTGCAGTGTGTGTGTGTGCTGTAGTGTGTGTGTTGTAGTGTATGTGTGCTGCACTGTGTGTGTGTGTGCTGTAGTGTGTGTGTGCTGTCCAACATATACATAAGTAAATGCTTCTAAAAGTCCTGAAGTAGACAGGACACATGAGCCTGTACTTGGGGTGTCTAAGTTGTTTGATTGGCTGCATTTTTTTTTGAGTGTGTTTAACTCATGCTATCATTAGCCATTAGATCATATTATTCACTCTTTTATTCTTGTCTTGACCAGTGTGCATTCAGCAATGGCGGCCATTTGTTTGCCTCTGTGATGGGTAATGTCATTCAGCTGTACTCCACCACCAGCTTTGAGAATGTCTCAAACTTAAAGGGTCACAATGGGTAGGTCAAAGGTCACAGTGGCAGGTCAGATCTGGTACTTACTTGCTGAACACTCTACTTGAGAAACTTTTTTATTGCAACAAAATTTTATTGCTACACAATTTTATTTGATATACAATTTTGTTGATACAAAATGTTCTAGATAAACTTTGATTGATGAACTCTGACCTTGCTTTGACTGATGACCTCTGACCCTGCTCCACAGCAAAGTGAAAGCTGTGGTCTGGAGTGTGGACGACAGCAAGCTCATCTCCTGTGGTATGGATGGGGCTGTGTACGAGTGGGACGCCTTCACAGGGAAGAGGACCAGCGAGAGCGTCATGAAGTCCTGCAGCTACACCAGCGTCACCGTCACACCAGACGGGAAAGCCACTTTTGCTGTTGGCTCAGATAAAACTTTGAAAGAGATTGCCGATTCACACGTAATTTCTTTTGAGCAGTGAAAAGATATTGAAATATAAATTCCAATTTATCTTTGTATATGTTACCAAGAAAGTGAAAAATGCAGACATTCCATAGAATGCACAAAAATATCTTACAATGCCCAGATATAGAAATAATATTCTTTTGCATATTCATTAAAGATTTTAGAAAAATTGAAATTTTAAATTTTTCAAAATATTTTCATAAATGACACAAATAATTATGCATTTGATTGATTAAAATATAAATTAAACTTATAAGTAATGGTCTAAATCTAATAAGATAATAAGATTGTTTAAACTATTTTTTTTTTTATACGATAAGACTTAAAATTAATTTTCTTTTTATTTTTAAAGAGTTGTAATATTTTGGTTTATGTACTATGCATGCAGATTTGAGGGGGGGGGTGTATTTAGATCTAAATAGGTTAAATTAGCAGTCGATGGGTAACAGCATACTTTAGTTATTTAGATTTGCCTAGATATTTAGCATTATTTCTAAAAGCATAAAAATACAAAGCCAGACAGTAATCTAGTATATGTTTTTCAAACCTTTTAGGCCTGATTATCTGCCTTGATTAGAGAGAGCCTCTACTTATCTTTCAGATCTTGCGAGAAGTGCCGGCCGCTGAGATGACACTGAGTGCTGTGGTCATGTCTCACTCAGGCCGCATGCTCTTCGCAGGTACCGTGAAAGGTGGATTATGGTCAATGAAATTTCCATTGGCTGTCCCAGGTGACTGGACGGAGCATCAAGGTCATGGGGCTGCCATAGTCAAGGTCAGTCATGACAAGTTTCAACTCTCACAAGGTAAAATCAGTCATGACAAGATTCAACTCTCACAAGGTAAAATCAGTCATGACAAGATTCAACTCTCACAAGGTAAAATCAGTCATGACAAGATTCAACTCTCACAAGGTAAAATCAGTCATGACAAGATTCAACTCTCACAAGGTAAAATCAGTCATGACAAGATTCAACTCTCACAAGGTAAAATCAGTCATGACAAGATTCAACTCTCAGCAGAGATATGCTCATCTTTTCAAATGTTTTGTTTTTATTTTGTTACCTTAATTTAAAAAGTAAAAAAATTTCAGATGAAAATCACTTTTGATGACCAATATTTGGTGAGTGTGGCGGAGGATGGGACAATAATTTTGTGGAAGATCCAAGATAAAGAAGGCCGGGGCTTAAAGAGAGACAAGGAAGTTGGCTGGGCAGAAGAGATTTTGATTACCAAAAGTGACTTGGAAGAAAAAGTAAATGGTTTATTCAAATAAAATGAGTGAAATAGTTTGAAAGAAAAATGGAGGACTCAAAAACTGTTGTCATGTTTACTACTAGCCTACTATTTCTAACAGAACTCAACTGTGTCTGACTTAAACTCTCGGGTTGAAGAGCTCAAGATGGAAAATGAATACCAGCTTCGTCTCAAAGACATGACTTACAATGAAAAAATGAAAGAGTTGACTGAAAAATTTATCCAAGAAATGGAGTCTCTAAAGACCAAAAATCAGGTGATCTTTGAAATCATTTTTGTTCTTATTTCCTCAATTTAAATCATTTGAAAACAGTGAATAGATTTTGAATAGCTTTAGTTATTAGTTAACAAACAAAAGTTGTAGAAGATATTTGGTGATCTGGTCACAACGCTATTTGTCTAACACATCTACTAATGACACCTGGACACTGGTCAGCTCCTGGACACTGGTCAGCTCCTGGCCATGACTAAAAACCTTATTACCCCACCTCCCTCCCCAAGTGATTTCAGGTGTTTATTTTGTTCTGGGTTTTTCTCCAGACTGGTTTTGTGCTATTTTTTGACGACATTTTTTTTCCATGGGGTTTTATCTCATCCACTCTTCTACAACTAGGTGACTTGTGTGTGACTTGTGTGTGACTTGTGTGTGACTTGTGTGTGACTTGTGTGTGACTTGTGTGTGACTTGTGTGGGACTTGTGTGGGACTTGTGTGTGACTTGTGTGGGACTTGTGTGTGACTTGTGACTTGTGTGTGACTTGTGTGTGACTTGTGTGTGACTTGTGTGTGACTTGTGTGTGACTTGTGTGTGACTTGTGTGGGACTTGTGTGTGACTTGTGACTTGTGTGTGACTTGTGTGTGACTTGTGTGTGACTTGTGTGTGACTTGTGTGTGACTTGTGTGTGACTTGTGTGTGACTTGTGTGGGACTTGTGTGGGACTTGTGTGTGACTTGTGACTTGTGTGTGACTTGTGTGTGACTTGTGTGTGACTTGTGACTTGTGTGTGACTTGTGTGTGACTTGTGTGGGACTTGTGTGTGACTTGTGTATGACTTGTGACTTGTGTGTGACTTGTGTGTGACTTGTGTGTGACTTGTGACTTGTGTGTGACTTGTGTGTGACTTGTGTGTGACTTGTGTGTGACTTGTGTGGGACTTGTGTGGGACTTGTGTGTGACTTGTGTGTGACTTGTGTGTGACTTGTGTGTGACTTGTGTGTGACTTGTGTGTGACTTGTGTGTGACTTGTGTGTGACTTGTGACTTGTGTGTGACTTGTGTGTGACTTGTGTGTGACTTGTGTGGGACTTGTGTGTGACTTGTGTGTGACTTGTGACTTGTGTGTGACTTGTGTGTGACTTGTGTGTGACTTGTGTGTGACTTGTGTGTGACTTGTGTGTGACTTGTGTGTGACTTGTGTGTGACTTGTGACTTGTGTGTGACTTGTGTGTGACTTGTGTGTGACTTGTGACTTGTGTGTGACTTGTGTGTGACTTGTGTGTGACTTGTGTGGGACTTGTGTGGGACTTGTGACTTGTGTGTGACTTGTGTGTGACTTGTGTGTGACTTGTGTGTGACTTGTGTGTGACTTGTGTGTGACTTGTGTGTGACTTGTGTGTGACTTGTGTGTGACTTGCAATGTCAATTATCTGACTTTTTAAGTCAGCCAATCTGCTTATAAGGTTATCTTTGTGACTTATAGAAGGATTTCCTGTTTAAATGAGAAACTTATTGGTGATGGTTTACAAATTACAGGTCCTGAAAACAGATAAAGACAAAGAAGAAGCAAATCACGAGGAAGAAATGGCAGAACTGATGGACAAGCATGCTAAGGAACTGCAGGATTTAGGTCAAACATAGCTGACATTTCTTTTTTAATTCATTCTATCTTAAGGACTGGGGAATGGCTGAGTGCTAACCTAATTGTCTTGAGTTTGTTCAGTTTTCTGAGTTGATCCAGCTGTTATGGGTACCTGACACTATATGGGAAAGTAAAAGCAGCTGGGCATGATGTGGGCCATATAGTACATGGGCATAATGTAGGCCATATAATACCTGGGCATAATGTGGGCCATATAATACCTGGGCATGATGTGGGCCATATAATACCTGGGCATGATGTGGGCCATATAATACCTGGGCATGATGTGGGCCATATAATACCTGGGCATGATGTGGGCCATATAATACCTGGGCATGATGTGGGCCATATAATACCTGGGCATGATGTGGGCCATATAATACCTGGGCATGATGTGGGCCATATAATACCTGGGCATAATGTGGGCCATATAATACCTGGGCATGATGTGGGCCATATAGTACCTGGGTATGATGTGGGCCATATAATACCTGGGCATGATGCTGGCCATATAATACCTGGGCATGATGCTGGCCATATAATACCTGGGCATGATGCTGGCCATATAATACCTGGGCATGATGTGGGCCATATAATACCTGGGCATGATGTGGGCCATATAATACCTGGGCATGATGTGGGCCATATAATACCTGGGCATGATGTGGGCCATATAATACCTGGGCATGATGTGGGCCATATAATACCTGGGCATGATGTGGGCCATATAATACCTGGGCATGATGTGGGCCATATAATACCTGGGCATGATGTGGGCCATATAATACCTGGGCATGATGTGGGCCATATAATACCTGGGCATGATGTGGGCCATATAATACCTGGGCATGATGTGGGCCATATAATACCTGGGCATGATGTGGGCCATATAATACCTGGGCATGATGTGGGCCATATAATACCTGGGCATGATGTGGGCCATATAATACCTGGGCATGATGTAGGCCATATAATACCTGGGTATGATTTTAAAATCTAATTAAAGAATAAAGTGTAAAATGTGTGCTACCTATTGAACAGAATCTGCCAACAACCAGAAGCTGATGCTGGAGTACGAGAAGTTCCAAGAGCAGCAGGCCAAGATGATGAAGATGCAGGAGGATTATGAGAGACAGCTGCAGGAGATGGAGGAGAGCAAAGAAAAAGCTTTGGAAGAGCTGACAGAATATTACGAAACAAAGTTACAAGACATGACCACTAAGCTGGAACAGGTTGGTCTGCTGCCAGCTGATCAGTTGATTCAAAAAATTTGAGTCAAAGGGAGCTAATTGAATTCCTCCAAGTTAAATATTCCCCAAGGGAGCTAATCTACTTCCAAGAGTCAAATATTTCCCAAGGGAGCTAATCTAATTCATTAAGTCAAATATTTCCCAAGAGATCTAATCTAATTCATTAAGTCAAATATTTCCCAAGGGAGCTAATCTAATTTCTTGATTCAAATGTGCCCTCAGCCATCAACTTGTTTATTAAACTTTTTAAATGGTTTCTTTGTTGATAAGATTGTTTAATGAAATAGTTTCTTTATTGATAAGATTGTTTAATTAATTAGCCTTTTAGTTGAAGGATAACTGAAAGATGATTTTGTTCAGTTAAATGATGAAGGGAGACAACAAAACAGAGAATATGAAGAAACAAAGAAACAAATAGAGGAAGATGGGGACAGGGAGATTCTAGATATCAAACATCAGTATGAAAGGAGGCTCAGAGATGAAAAGGAAGCAAACATGAGGCTCAAGGGAGAAACTGGCATCATGAAGAAGAAGGTAGGAGTGATATAATTATGTTCTTTGTCACATAACTGGGGTCAAATAGGTGGGGTCATGGTCATTTAATTAGGGTCAAACAGGTGGTCATATAATTACGGTCAAATTAGTAGGGCCATTGCTAAATAATTAAGATCAGATGTATTGGGTCATTGCCTAATTACTATGGTCAAATAAGTCAAATAGTGGTAGTGGTCAAATTATGAAGGTCAAACAGGTGGGGTCATGGGCAGATAATGAAGGTCAGGTATATAGATTCACAGTCAAATAACTGAGGTCAAATGGGTAGGGGCATGGTGAAATAATTGAGATACAGTATTGACACTATTAAGGGGGTTAATTAAGATACAGTATTGACACAATTTTTAGGGGGGTTGGCGTCACTAAGCCAGTAAAGCGCATGATTGCTAAACTGAAAAGTCTCGAGTTTTAAACCCCAGGCAGATGAGGCTCAATATTGATTTCTCTCAAATCAATATTCTCTGGTTAGTTTATTTTTGTCATGTATAGTTCACCAGCTTACAGAAAGAAATTGATGATCATAAAGATGAGATTAAAAAGCTTCAAGCAGAGACCTTAAAACTAAGCAACGTTATTCGCAGTCTGGAGAAAGATATCCAAGGACTAAAGAAAGAAATTCAGGAGCGAGATGACACTATTCAGGACAAGGTGACAACCTTTAGTAGATTAAATAGAACAACAGTCCATTCTAAACAGTTATACAATCGCACTATTTATAGATGACAATTTAAAATAGTAGTGAAACTAAAATCAAATATTAAATAATTTTTTTTTAAATATTTATTGTAAAACCTAAATGAGCAATACAATATAAATGTAGCCTAAATGTTTGAAATTAATTCTTTTTAATAAGCTCTTAATGACAAATCGTTGGACAGCAGTTTTGTTTAAACTTTTAACTTATCCAATCAACCAGGAAAAAAGAATTTATGACCTAAAAAAAAAGAACCAGGAGCTAGAGAAATTTAAATTTGTTTTGGACTACAAAATCAAGGAGCTCAAAAAGCAGATTGAGCCCAGAGAGATGGACATAAAAAATATGAAGGAGCAGATTCAGGAGGTAAGCAATACAAATTGTCTAGTTTTAAAAATTGAAGAGTTACATTAAAAAACGTAAAAAAAACAAAAAAACAATTAAATATTACACACTAATACAGCCTGACCTATCTATATTTATGAAATCTGACTTGTCTGTCTTTATACATTCTAACCTGTCTGTCTTTATACATTCTATCCTGTCTGTCTAAAGTCTATAAAGTCTAACCTGTCCATCTTAAGACCACTGGGATCAAAGGTGTATTTACACCCTTTCTGATTCCTTACCATAAAAATCTTTTTATTCCCTATTCATACCCTCCCAATTTCCTATTCATTCCCTACTAAAAAAATAATTCATTGTCCACCATAAAAAACCTAATTTATTTCCCAGTCTAAAAATCCCAGTATAAAAAATGTTCCCTACCAAGAGCTCAAATCATTGCTACATTATATTTACCAGAGCACAGTTTCTACACACGAAATGGGGCCTAACCCCTGCTCCCCCCAGTGGCGGAACCAGAAAAAAAGGGCCACCCGGCAAAAAAAAATTCTGCCCCCCCACCAAATATATATATATATATATATATATATATATATATATATATATATATATATATATATATATATATATATATATATATATATATATACATACATACATACAAAACAACCATCAAGTCAAAAATGCAAGAAAATTAATTATTTTAACTATAAAAATTGATTATGGTCGGCTGTGGGCCCCTAAATGCCTCCCCCCCACCCAGCATTGCGGGGTCTGGGGGCTCTATAGTTCCGCCCCTGCCTCCCCCCCCCCCCCCTGTTTAAACACATAAAATGCGGCCTAATCATGCCCCTCCCCCCCCCCCCCCCCGTTTCTACACACTACATTGTGACTTATTCCTCTCTCCCCCACCCCACCTCTACCCACAACGCTGTGAATTATCTCACCAGATGGAGAGCGAGCTAGAGAGGTTTCACAAGCAAAACACTCAGCTTGAACTCAATATTACTGAACTGCGTCAAAAACTCAAAGCTACAGACAAGGAGATGCACCAAGAGAGGCAAAAGGTTTTTTTAGAAATTCATTCAACCTCAGTAGAAATTGTCTTTCTCAATCCCACAGAAAATATTCTCTGTTGTTATTTGTCTGATTCAACCTCAGTAGAAATTGTCTTTCTCAATCCCACAGAAAATATTCTCTGTTGTTATTTGTCTGATTCAACCTCAGTAGAAATTGTCTTTCTCAATCCCACAGAAAATATTCTCTGTTGTTATTTGTCTGATTAAACCTCAGTACAAATTGTCTTTCTCAATCCCACAGAAAATATTCTGTTGTTATTTGTCTGATTCAACCTCAGTAGAAATTGTCTTTCTCAATCCCACAGAAAATATTCTCTGTTGTTATTTGTCTGATTCAACCTCAGTAGAAATTGTCTTTCTCAATCCCACAGAAAATATTCTCTGTTGTTATTTGTCTGATTAAACCTCAGTAGAACAGACTTTCTTAAGCCCACAAAATGTTTGTTTTGTTATTCACTCCATTAGGTTCGGGATGTTGAGGCCATTGTACGGCGATTCAAAACTGATCTCCATAACTGCGTTGGTTACATTCAAGATCCAAAAATGTTGAAAGAAAGCATCAAGGCACTTTATCAGAAACATGTTCAAGAAGATATTGTAAGTTTGAGATTCTGTATATTTGGTGAGATTCTGTATATTTGTTGAGATTCTGTATATTTGTTGAGATTCTGTATATTTGGTGAGATTCTGTATATTTGGTGAGATTCTGTATATTTGGTGAGATTCTGTATATTTGGTGAGATTGTGAGATTCTGTATATTTGGTGAGATTCTGTATATTTGGTGAGATTCTGTATATTTGGTGAGATTCTGTATATTTGAGCTGCTGGTGAGATTCTGTATATTTGGTGAGATTCTGTATATTTGGTGAGATTCTGTATATTTGGTGAGATTCTGTATAGTTGGTGAGATTCTGTACATTTGGTGAGATTCTGTATATTTGGTGAGATTCTGTATATTTGGTGAGATTCTGTATATTTGGTGAGATTCTGTACATTTGAGCTGTTCATTTACCTCAATCAGTTTTTAACATGGCAAATAAAAAGCTGAAAACATGATGAATTTTTTTGTTTCAGAAAGTAAGTGTAAAGGTTTGAAGACAAATGTAGATTTGACTTGTTCTCTGGCAGTGTTAACTTTTCTGTTTGACTTTCATGTTTTTAAAGTTCTTTATTTTAGAAAAATTTTGTCTAGTTTATACCTTAATTGACTTTGAAACTAAATAGCCAATGTTTCAATTTTACAAATAATCTTTAACAAGCCAGTACTTAGCTGTTCTGCATTATGAAATTATCTTTCAAATAAGTAATAAGTTAAAAATATTCAGTGATATGTTGAAGTTTAACCCTGAGTATTGACTATTCATTTCACCTGATTTACGCCTCTAATTAATTGTTTGACATTTCTTGAATAGACCGAGTCTGCTAGTGTTGATGCTGATATTCAGAAAGAATTTAGTCGTCAAAAAGAACATTTAGAAAGATCAGTGGCAAGTTTACGGAAAAAGTTGGAGAAAGATTCGGAAATACACAAAGCTGATAACGTTCGTATTATGCAGGTACAGATGGTTTTGTTATCAAGTTTTAAAAACAGGTTTAGATATAAGTGTCAAGTTTTAATTATTGGGTTAGTTTTGAAGTTAAGTTTTAAACATGGGTTTTGTTATGAAATGGTGGTTTAGAATTGTATGTTGTGGCATTAGGATTATTGACATTGTAGAAACATATGTAACAATAAGTAGTGTGGTCTGGGATGTGACAATTGTAATGTGGACTGGGATGTGATGTGTGACAATTGTAATGTGGACTGTGATATGTGACAATTGTAGTGTGGTCTGGGATGTGTGACAATTGTAGTGTGGTCTGGGATGTGACAATTGTAGTGTGGTCTGGGATGTGTGACAATTGTAGTGTGGTCTGTGATGTGACAATTGTAGTGTGGTCTGGGATGTGTGACAATTGTAGTGTGGTCTGGGATGTGTGACAATTGTAGTGTGGTCTGTGATGTGACAATTGTACTGTGGACTGGGAAATGTGCATGGTGGAGATTCACACAACATGATGGTGAGACAATTAATTTGATGGCATCTTTTGACAGGAAAATGTAACGCTGATTAAAGAAATAAATGACCTACGTAAAGAGTTAAGAATTTGTAGAGTCCTGATTCATGACATGGAAGCCGCTATGGGTTTGGATCTAAGATCCAAAAAATCTGGGCCAACTATCCCACTCCCACCCAAACCACATGGACCGCTGGTGGAGAAAGAACTGGAGGAACATAAGAAAGTCATAGAGATGCAGCAGGTAGGGAAGACTTGCTTGTTTGGTCACATACTGAATCAACCAATTAGTGCTTATCTTGTCATTCTTGAGTCAATGCACCAATTAAGATTTTCATTGCTCCACCCAGCTTGAACTCAAGAGACTCCGGGATGAAATTTATGATTTGGAAATCAACTCTTCAAGGCCAATGTCTAAACAAAGACTACCACCAGTTCCTGCTGTGGGCCAGTGAAAAACACAACGAAGTGCTTGCCTCAAGTTTTTACATGTTGAAAAAGCCAATTAGAACCATTCATTTGTTTTATCATTTTTATACTACTTTTTTTTGTAAACAATCGCAAAATACAATAGAGGTAGTAGTCCCTAAGATACTGCAATCCTCAAAATGTTGAAATGACAGCCATGGAAAATATTGCTCAAGCACATTTTTAGATACAAAACAATTGTCATATAGTTACATTTGAATTGTTGAAGAAAGGTGGTAGTCTGAAAATATTTAGCAATGCCAGCACTTTTACAAAATCAGTCATCAACAAAATTAAGCAAAGACTTGGCAAATACATTTTCCTTAAAAAAATTATCAAAAAATGTTGGGCAACTGTCATCTTCTTTCCCCCCCCCCCCCCCATAAATTTGTCCTATCGAGAATGTATACCATATATTGAGTGATAAATCACAAGTTGCCTCATTGTTAGCTACTAAATAAAATAAATTTTAGTTTTTAAACTTGGTTAACTTTGATGAATTATGCCCCAGTTTGAACACAAGTGATTCTTGTCAAATCTATTCTGGGTGACCAGTAAAAGCTATCTAAAAATCCAACAAACAACAATTGTGTAATCAAATATACAAATGATTTTTATTAATAAAAAGTAATACAAAATAAAATCTAATTGAAGCAAATCTGTTGATGAAAATGTTTGAGTGTGTTACCAGCATGTCCACTTATGGCTAGCCACAACACGTACTGCAAGTGTTACTGGCATGTCCACTTATGGCTAGCCACAACACCTACTGCAAGTGTTACCAGCTATTTTATTTAGTTAAAAAACAAATGATGCCTTCAAACAATGCTAAACAGTTCTTGAAACATTACAAATGAAGAATGAATTGATCTCATTCATCCACTGTCTTCCAAGTAATCCTAGCATGCACACAACTTCTACAAGAGGAATGGGATGATGGCACTGCGTAGACGTGGGTACTCTTTAAATTCTCTCAAGTAGTTTCTATGTTTCCCCTTGGCCCATACTGCCATTTGATAAAACCCTGCTAAACAAAACAGTCCAGCTGAAAAGGAAATTTGAAGCAGTTTTTGTAGTAAACAAATGCAACAAAAATTTGATACCTAAGAAAGCAGCTTTTGTAGCAAACGATTCAAAAATAAACTTTACTACCCATTTCATGAGACTAAGTGTGACTCAGTTTAAGAACACAGGGTAACCAGTTTCATCAGATGCTGGGTTAGGGTTCAAACAAATCTTACCTGGGTTAGGGTTCAAACAAATCTTACCTGGGTTAGGGTTCAAACTAATCTTACCTGGGTTAGCATTCAAACAAATCTTACCTGGGTTAGGGTTCAAACAAATCTTACCTGGGTTAGGGTTCAAACAAATCTTACCTGGGTTAGGGTTCAAACAAATCTTACCTGGGTTAGGGTTCAAACAAATCTTACCTGGGTTAGGGTTCAAACAAATCTTACCTGGGATAGGGTTCAAACAAATCTTACCTGGGTTAGGGTTCAAACAAATCTTACCTGGGTTAGGGTTCAAACAAATCTTACCTGGGTTAGGGTTCAAACAAATCTTACCTGGGTTAGGGTTCAAACAAATCTTACCTGGGTTAGGGTTCAAACAAATCTTACCTAACAGACATTGCATCAGATGCTGGGTTAGGGTTCAAACAAATCTTACCTGGGTTAGGGTTCAAACAAATCTTACATAACAGACATTGCATCAGATGCTGGGTTAGGGTTCAAACAAATCTTACCTGGGTTAGGGTTCAAACAAATCTTACCTGGGATAGGGTTCAAACAAATCTTACCAGGCAGACATTGTATCAGATGCTGGGTTGGGGTTCAAACAAATCTTACCTGGGTTTCGGTTCAAACAAATCTTACCTAACAGACATTGCATCAGATGCTGGGTTAGGGTTCAAACAAATCTTACCTGGGTTAGGGTTCAAACAAATCTTACATAACAGACATTGCATCAGATGCTGGGTTAGGGTTCAAACAAATCTTACATGGGTTAGGGTTCAAACAAAGCTTACCTGGGATAGGGTTCAAACAAATCTTACATGGGTTAGGGTTCAAACAAATCTTACCTGGGTTAGGGTTCAAACAAATCTTACCAGGCAGACATTGTATCAGATGCTGAGTTGGGGTTCAAACAAATCTTACATGGGTTTGGGTTCAAACAAATCTTACCTAACAGACATTGCATCAGATGCTGGGTTAGGGTTCAAACAAATCTTACATGGGTTTGGGTTCAAACAAAGCTTACCTGGCAGACATTGCATCAGATGCTGGGTTAGGGTTCAAACAAATCTTACATGGGTTTGGGTTCAAACAAATCTTACCAGGCAGACATTGTATCAGATGCTGGGTTAGGGTTCAAACAAAGCTTACCTGGGTTAGGGTTCAAACAAAGCTTACCAGGCAGACATTGCATCAGATGCTGGGTTAGGGTTCAAACAAATCTTACATGGGTTTGGGTTCAAACAAATCTTACCAGGCAGACATTGCATCAGATGCTGGGTTAGGGTTCAAACAAATCTTACATGGGTTAGGGTTCAAACAAATCTTACCAGGCAGACATTGTATCAGATGCTGGGTTAGGGTTCAAACAAATCTTACATGGGTTAGGGTTCAAACAAAGCTTACCAGGCAGACATTGCATCAGATGCTGGGTTAGGGTTCAAACAAATCTTACATGGGTTCGGGTTCAAACAAATCTTACCAGGCAGACATTGAGTCATGACAGTAAAACCCAGCCAGGCCATCACCTCATACGTATAATTAGGACAGGAAACCAACTTGAACAGCCAAGTGAATGGATTTAAGCCTGGGTAGGGGATTTTTCTTTCCTTTGATCCTGCAATAAAAAATGTTGTATTGTTGTAGGGTAGTTGTGCATGATGGTTATTTGACTAATGTTGATATCAGCAACAATGTTTGTGCATGATGGTTATTTGACTAATGTTGATATCAGCAACAATGTTTGTGCAGTGATGGTTGTTTGAGTAACTAGCCATGGGTACCCGTTTCAAATGAATTATAGACCTAAATATTTACTATCTCATATACAAAGTATAGAGGAAGCACTGTAATCGAGCAAAAAAAAAAAAAAAAAACAACTCCCTGAGTCCGCATGTCTGTGTGTGTGTATGTGTCTGTGAACATGATAATTTGAGTACCGTTACAGCTAGGTTGATGAAATTTCAAATATATATATTATATCAAATTAGTAGTTCTGTATCAACTTTTCAGCGATTTCAGGTAACCAGAAGTGGAACTTATTCTACTTTCAATTTTTCAAAACCGTATAACTTGAGTACTGTTCCAGATAGATAAATGAAATTTCACATGTAAGTAAAAGATCTAATCCTCTGCCTTCTCTGAAATTTTGTCTAATTTCCGTTGACAGGAAGTAGTAATTTACCCTATTTCCGATTTCTCAAAAAAAAAAAGCATGCGAATTTATAATGTACTAATAATATTCTACATTATTATACACATATTATTTGGCGTTCACTTGGTGCGTAATTCTTTTTTCTAGGAGATTCTATTCTATTTTTAAAAGTTTAAGTAATTAAAAATGGATTAAAAGTCATGTCTATATCCCTAGTTGGCATCCCTCGTACTGTTATATGAAAATATTCGAGAAAATTTATGGGAGATCACTCCCGGTTTATTTTACTGTTATACTTATTAGGAAAAAATAATTTATGAAATAGTTATTGGCCAAAACGCTATACGCTTTACTGTATGTTAAACGATAAAAGTGACAAAGGAAAGATATAAATAAATAGCTAAAAATCTGACAAATTTAAAATAAAATAGGCTACAAATACCTATTGGAAAATTAAAACTAAAATATATATACTATTAGTCAACACAACACCATATTAAAGGCACACACTGATTAAGAGACTTAAATGATTCCGTTAAAAACCCGTCTGTTCAATGGTCATTAATTTTTTTTAAAAAGTAATTTGTATTAGTTTTACTGAGAAAATTGTATACATTTCATGTATAAGTATATTTATAGAATCTAGATCTAAATCAAATTAGAATGAAATAGTTCATTTCTTCATATTCTAAAATTGCTCTTCCCATAGTTGAAATGTGGCATGTGACGTCATTGTTTATTGCATTCCTGTCACAACCATAAACACTTTTCCGATTGCATAATTAAAAATAAGTTTGTACGTTAGAATATTGCTTTATTTTTATTTTCTTTTTTAAAATAAAATTTAGTTTATACATTTAAAACATCCAACATATTTTCAACAAAATTCTGTATCTTAAGTTCTCCATATATCATTGAAGATACTGTTCTTTTTCGCTAGGGACATGCGGACAAAGAGAGAGAAGGAGAGACGTGCACACATGGGCTTTTATATATTAGGATGTTGTAGAAACATGCTGATAAACAACTGGGTTGGTTGTTGTACAGTTCAAAAGTACTTGGAGTTGACTAGACAATTGACCACTAACTTGACCAACCACTAACAACATACCTGCTGGCCTTAGGTTTCTGAGTGCTACATGAATGGAGAAATTTCCAAGTTCAGCCAACTGAGGAAAGAATAAATTGTAGACCATTTTTAAAATATCAAATTTAAAATGTATACAACATTAAACAACTCAGGTTATCATTTTTTAAACTTTCAGTAACATATTTTTGTCCATGACTTTTCACATTTTTTGTTTTCAAAAATAAATGGGACCAAATGAATGAAATTTGATTTTTTTTTTTTAAAATTCGCATAATTTAAGAAATAATCATGCTTGTATAAAGATATTTTACTGATTATAAAAATATTTTCTACAAATGATGCTTGCAATCTCAAAGGCAAAATATGTTGTAAAAATCCTAGCCAACATTCCCCACGCTACCCAGGGGTCAGAGGAAGTGCACAGAGCAAACCAATTACCCCCACCCATTGTAAGTAACTTACTAGTAATAAAAACACTAGTTCAGGAAATAAAACCACTCAGCCAAGAAACTAAAGTTTTAAGCCACTTGGCCAGGAAACAAAAGTTTTAAGCCACTTGGCCAGGAAACAAAAGTTTTAAGCCACTTGGCCAGGAAACAAAAGTTTTAAGCCACTTGGCCAGGAAACAAAAGTTTTAAGCCACTTGGCCAGGAAACCTACAGATTTAAACCACTGGGCAAGGAAACAAAAGTTAACACAAATATTCCTTTGATCTTCAAAGTAAACAAGCCTGTCATATTAACCTTTATTTTTTCACTGACTTCAGTTTTAGGGCTAGGGCTTTAACAAAGACTTGGTTGGATATTTCATTTTTTTAAGCAGCACTAAATAGATACATGCTAGCTGTCCCGGCCAGGCCCTGCATTGGCATCTGTGAAAAACCTATCTGTAAAGGAATATGACTTGTGTGTTTACTAAGCAGCATATATTGGCATTTCCGGGGTTTAGGAAATATATTACTTTTCATATTAACCCTAACCACAACCAAAAAATAAACGCAAACACAAATGAAAACACAAATCCAAACATTAACACAAAACAAACCTAAACCCAACAACAAATGCAAACCCAAAAACAAACACAAACACATAAGCAAACGAAAAAAAAAAAAAAAAATTAAACACAAAAGCAAACAGTAATGCAAACACAAACATAATTAGAAACGCAAACAAAAACACAAAACAAACCTAAGCGCAAACAATAACGCAGAACAAACTTTAATTCAAGCATAAAAGCATAGTGCTCGGAGTATAGCCCGGGGCGCTAGAGGAGCTACCAGATTCAACTTAGTAAATGACTATAATACCGAATCTTAGCCATAGTCTATCGCACTGTTTGAAACAAACATAGTTGCCATGGGGCTCATGTGAAGGCATGGGGCGCAAAATTTAAACCTTGTCGGGGCAGACATCCCTGATTCAATTTAGTGAATGACTAAAATACCCCCAGCTTGCCACAAACCAAAATATAGAAGTAAACATAGAGGACATTTAGGAGCAGCTTTGTAACTGTTATTGATTAATAATAATTAGTAAACAATACGTTCAGTGTATAAAATGAAGGCAGTATTTAAAATATCCGTGTTTTGCCTACCACATTGAACTTCATCAATCCATGCTAATTATATCTTTTTTTCCCAACACTAAAACAAACTAATAAATAGAATTTTTAAAATATACAATCCATATTAGTTTTCTTTTCATCATTTATTTAGATAATAAACCCTTTAAGCCCATAATTATTTTCATGTTTTACCAGAAATTTTTTTTTTTCATTACCCCTGCGGCTAAACGACCCATGTCTTTTCACCTGTTTTAAACCCCACACATTATTGATAAAAATTAATCGTAATTGAATGCCCTACACACTGATATAAATTTTAAGTAATTATTTATTTACTGAAGAAAGATAATTACTTAGTTTTAAAGAAGAAACAATAAAGAAAATTAATGATAAGAATTACTTTTCATGATTTCTTATTCATAGAAAATGAAAGTACGTCCATTTTTCTACAAATATCATGGATCGGATTAGTCTTAGTATAAATACTTCAACATTGGTTAATTTTATAATGCGGCGACCTAATCTTGGATTCTAAGAAAAACAACTAATTAAATAGAGAAAATTTTATCAGACGCTGGGAGCGTTATAACGGTATGGCAGGCCGGCCTGTTGATGGCTGGGAGCATCATTACGGTCTTAAAAGAGTTAAGAATATTACACAATGACTATCAAGTCGAGTTTTTTACTATATGCATGTCTTTTAAGGGTCCGCCACCTACACAGCCACAGAGTCTATTTCAACATTATATATTAGATATAAAGTAATATCTTAAAATAAGTTACTCCCAAAAATTATAATAAATCACCAAAGTAATTTCCAATAAAAAAATAACACAACAATGAAGTAACTTACAATAAAACAGCCTAATCCCAGCTTGATTTGCAGCTCACCATAACCTTGAAAATTTACAAAATCTTATTATGCAAGACGGGCTACACTTTGGCATATATGAAAAAAATGCATCAAAAACATTTTAATAACAAGCTTTTAGGCATTAATGCATTAAATAAACCTGGAGTGATCTCCCCTAAACTTTCTTGAATATTCTTAGATGATACAACAGGGGATTTTTAATCCAATTTAAATACTTAAGCTTTTTAAAATAGAATAAAATCTCGTAGAAAAAGAATTTCACACCAAGTGAACGCCAAATAAAATAAAATGTGCATAGTAGTGCGAAAGATTATTAGTACTTTATAAATTTACTTGCGTTTTTGAGAAATCGGAAATAGCAAAAATTACTACTTCCGGTCAATAGAAATTACTCAAAATTTGATAGGAGACAGAATTAGATCTTTTACTTACGTGTGAAATTTCATTTATCTCTCTGAAATAGTACTCAAGTTATACGGTTTTGAAAAATTCAAAGTAGAAAAAGTTCCACTTCCGGTTATCGGAAATCTCCCAAAAGTTGATACGGATCTACGATTGTTATAATACTTATATATGAAATTTCATCAACCTAGCTGTAACGGTACTCAAGTATCGTGTTTACAGACACACACACACAAGATTGCAAAACTATGTTTTTCCGGCTCAGGGAGGTGTAAAACGTCGAGATGTGCAAAAATCTCGATTTTTTTTTTCCCATGATTACAAGACTTTCTCTATACTTCGTATATACGAGAAAGTAAAAAGGGGAAAATTAAAGATCTTTAAATATGAACTTTTGAAATTTTTAATACAAATAACAATTATTGCGCGCAAAATGAACATGAAAAATGTGCATATAATAGCATGATAAATAGTATTTTGAATAGGAAATTTTAATAAATTCATAGAAAATTAATTAGGCATCCAATAAAGTCAAATTTGATGTCAGATTGCATTGTCATCAGGTGTGACCCACATGCTAAGTTTGAAATGAATCGTTCAGTTAGCAGTGATCAAAATTTCGCTAGGCAGTTTTGATCTATGACGGAAAACAGTGACAGGCAGAGGAAGCTATTTAATAAAAGCTTGTAAAAATAATTAGCACCTAATTTTTAAAATTCACATGACCACATTATTCATCAATTCACATGACCACAGTAGCACATTATTCATCAATTCACATGACCAAAGTAGCATATTATTCATCAATTCACATGACCACAGTAGCACATTATTCATCAATTCACATGACCACAGTAGCACATTATTCATCAATTCACATGACCAAAGTAGCATATTATTCATCAATTCACATGACCACAGTAGCACATTATTCATCAATTCACATGACCACAGTAGCACATTATTCATTAATTCACATGACCACAGTAGCACATTATTCATCAATTCACATGACCACAGTAGCACATTATTCATCAATTCACATGACCAAAGTAGCATATTATTCATCAATTCACATGACCACAGTAGCACATTATTCATCAATTCACATGACCACAGTAGCACATTATTCATCAATTCACATGACCAAAGTAGCATATTATTCATCAATTCACATGACCACAGTAGCACATTATTCATCAATTCACATGACCACAGTAGCACATTATTCATTAATTCACATGACCACAGTAGCACATTATTCATCAATTCACATGACCACAGTAGCACATTATTCATCAATTCACATGACCACAGTAGCACATTATTCATTAATTCACATGACCACAGTAGCACATTATTCATCAATTCACATGACCACAGTAGCACATTATTCATCAATTCACATGACCACAGTAGCACATTTCTCATCAATTCACATGACCACAGTAGCACATTATTCATTAATTCACATGACCACAGTAGCACATTATTCATCAATTCACATGACCACAGTAGCACATTATTCATCAATTCACATGACCACAGTAGCACATTATTCATCAATTCACATGACCACAGTAGCACATTATTCATCAATTCACATGACCACAGTAGCACATTATTCATCAATTCACATGACCAAAGTAGCATATTATTCATCAATTCACATGACCACAGTAGCATATTATTCATCAATTCACATGACCACAGTAGCACATTATTCATCAATTCACATGACCACAGTAGCACATTTCTCATCAATTCACATGACCACAGTAGCACATTTCTCATCAATTCACATGACCACAGTAGCACATTATTCATTAATTCACATGACCACAGTAGCACATTATTCATCAATTCACATGACCACAGTAGCACATTATTCATCAATTCACATGACCACAGTAGCACATTATTCATCAATTCACATGACCACAGTAGCACATTTCTCAACCATTCCCCAGCATGTGACTCACCTGGAGGTGTGTACAAAGGATGATTCACAAAGTAAGCAACAAATGCAGCAAAGCCCCAATAGTAAATGGAGTTCTGTAGGATAAAAAAATGGTATGACTGTAAACATTAACACACAAAATAAAGCGGGAGTGATCTCCCCTAACTTTTGCAACTATTTTTAAATAAAACTACAGGGGATGGCAACTCAAGATGTAGACATGATTTTAACATTTTTTAACTTTTTAAAAATAGAGTAGAGTCTCATTGAAAAAATAATTGCGCACCAAGTGAACAGCAATCAATGTGTGTATAATAGTGCAGAATATTAGTACTTTATAAATTCATATGCGTTTTTTGAGATATGGGAGTACTACTTCTGGTCAACAGAAATTACTTAAAAGAAGGCAGAGAATTAGAATTTTACTTGAAATTTAGTTTATTTATCTGAAACTGTACTCAAGTTAAAGGCTTTTGAAAACACTAAAAGTAGAATAAGCTCCACCTATGGTCATAAAAACTCGCTGAAAAGTTGATACAGAACAACACATTTGATATAATACTTATATATGAAATATCACCAACCTTGCTGTAACGGTACTCAAATTATCGTGTTCACAGACATACACTGACAAAATTGTAAAACTAAGTTTTTCCGACTCAAGGAGGTGTAAAATATAAAGATTTATGAAAATCCCAATTTCGATTTTTTGCATGATTGCAATACTTCCTTTATACCTCGTATACGAGAAAGTAAAAAGATGAGAACATTTTTTTAAAATCTGGAACCCTGATGAGACAAACCTTAAAAATATTAAATATAGGCATGGTGGAATGTGAAAATCTGTGCACAAATAAGGTCTCCAGCAAACGTTTAGCATAATGGAATGTCCAGCATCCTGCTGCAATGCTGAAAATTTAAATGTCATTATAGTGAGAAGTGTAGTTTCACATATCTGTATGCAATTACATACTTCTAATTAAATTTATGTATTCTTAACAAACAACTTATCCTAAGGTAATTTATTTAATCCACTACTAGTTAATCTAGTTAAAACAACCCAATTCTAATTAATTTAGTTAAGTAAATCAACTTTTAATTAATATAATTGTAAAAAAGAAACAAACTTCTGATTAAAGTATTGATTAAAAAAAACAGACAATGGTAGCAAAAACATGTGTAACAATGACTACATGACCAATTATCCTAAGCATAAAATAAAGAGTGAAAACATATTACTTGACAACTTGACTGTATGTTTTGGTAGCTTCCCCAGCACCATATATGATAGCTGGTCTAGAATAGAATATGAGGTAGATGACAAGTGGCCCAGCATATTCTGTTAGAAACACCTGGAAGAAAAAGCATGTTCTAAAATACAACAGCAAAATCAATTTTAGCAATGCTGAATTAAGAATATTTGATTTGAGTGCATAGACTATCAACTTATTTTCTACTACTGTGACATACTCCCCTCACTACCAATGCCACTTGATGTGACCGCCATTACCTATTGTGTTTCTATCGCATTATTATGCTTCTAAGCTATTTAAGCTTAACTTAATATAGTACAAGAGTTCACGAGATTTTCCCCCCAAACAAAAAAATCCAAGAAGTATCTAGCATTTTTAAAAATTATTTTATATTAAGTTTACTAAGTTGAGTTTCGTACAAAAGTTTACACTCGTTGTAGCGTAAATGGTCGCTTCTGCATTATGGTACTTTTCAATTAGTTTTAAAGAACCAGATTGTTAAAAAGATTCTTTATTATGTTAGATATTTAAGCTATTAAAATTAGCAAACAGAATCTGTTGTAAAATAGTAATATTTTAAATATTAGAGATGATACTGAGACTCTCCGTGGCAGCCTCAGACCACATGGTTGCATCACAAAATTCACACTAAACAATAAATACTAATAGAAAAACATGTTAAATTACAAAATTTTCTTTGAGATAACACATTGCTTTATCTTAAATAATTAAACAAAGAAAATTTGTTGGGGGTCACCTCCCTTAGCTCAGGGACTGGGGAAGGGTTTTGAGATAGGCTTTAGTAGCAAATGAGTTAAAATATTCAGTTGAAAGAAAATAAAAATACTAATGTCAAATGATTGTTTTATAGAAGTAAACTAGAAAGTAAACTAACTGTTGTCCAGCCCACTTGTGGTCCCAAATCTTTAAAATACAGCTTGCCATTGGTGCTAATGTTTAGACTTTCTAGCGTGTCCCCATCTTTCAGCATTTTCCCACCTGAAACACAAAGATGTATGACTACACTGTGGACTAGTCACTGACAGCAAGACATAGATGTATGAATACACTAGTCAGTGACATCAAGACATAGATGTATGAATACACTGTGGACAAGTCACTGACAGCAAGACATAGATGTATGAATACACTGTGGACAAGTCACTGACAGCAAGACATAGATGTATGAATACACTAGTCAGTGACAGCAAGACATAGATGTATGACTACACTGTGGACTAGTCACTGACAGCAAGACATAGATGTATGAATGGACTAGTCACTGACAGCAAGACATAGATGTATGACTTTACTAGTCACTGACAGCAAGACATAGATGTATGACTACACTGTGGACTAGTCACTGACAGCAAGACACAGATGTATGACTACACTGTGGACTAGTCACTGACAGCAAGACATAGATGTATGAATACACTGTGGACTAGTCACTGACAGCAAGACATAGATGTATGAATACACTGTGGGCTAGTCAGTGACAGCAAGACATAAATGTATGAATGGACTAGTCAGTGACAGCAAGACATAGATGTATGAATGGACTAGTCAGTGACAGCAAGACATAGATGTATGACTTTACTAGTCAGTGACAGCAAGACATAGATGTATGAATGGACTAGTCAGTGACAGCAACACATAGATGTGTGACTTTACTAGTCAGTGACAGCAAGACATAGATGTATGAATGGACTAGTCAGTGACAGCAAGACATAGATGTATGAATGGACTAGTCAGTGACAGCAACACATAGATGTGTGACTTTACTAGTCAGTGACAGCAAGACATAGATGTATGAATGGACTAGTCAGTGACAGCAAGACATAGATGTATGAATGGACTAGTCAGTGACACTCAGCAACACATAGATGTATGAATGGACTAGTCAGTGACACTCAGCAACACATAGATGTATGAATGGACTAGTCAGTGACAGCAACACATAGATGTATGAATGATAGGGCAGGCAAACAGCAGGCATACTTACGAGGATCCAACTTGTATGCTTGTCTGTCAGCATAATATTTGGGATCTGAAAGCAGCAGAAAAATAGTTCAGGTACAAGACAATATGATTGGGCAGATAGCCTTTATACCTCTTTGTCTTGAGTTGATGTGATCAGACTTTGTTTAATAAATGGGTAGGTGGTTATTTATAATATAGGGTGTGTGTGGGTGTGCTGGTTGTTTGTAGGGGTTATTTGAAAAAATGGGAGAGTGGTCTTTCAATCCAAAATGTGAGATAAACAGTTGGGTAGTTGTTAATCTTGTATGGAAAACAAGAGTTGAGTATTTGTTAATCTTGTATGGAAATCAAGAGTTGGGTAGTTGTTAATCTTGTACGGATCTTTGAGGTGGGTAAAAAAGCTCCAATTTGTGTGTGAGTCACCCCTAGGCAGAGATGGGCTTACAAAACAACTTTAAAGTAAATGACTTGGTTGATGTAAAAATAGAAATACTCACTGCATTTGGAATATTCCCGCTTGATGTCAGATATTGTGCTCTTTGGAGACAGCTGTGAACAAACCGTTTTAAGTTAAGCAACTGGCAAGTGTGACGGCCACTGCCACAGACAGGTGTGACACCAACTGCCACAGACAGGTGTGACACCGACTGCCAGTCAGGTGTGACACAGACTGCCAGTCAGGTGTGACACCAACTGCCACAGACAGGTGTGACACCAACTGGCAGTCAGGTGTGACACCAACTGGCAGTCAGGTGTGACACCAACTGCCAGTCAGGTGTGACACCAACTGGCAGTCAGGTGTGACACCAACTGCCAGTCAGGTGTGACACCAACTGCCAGTCAGGTGTGACACCAACTGGCAGTCAGGTTTGACACCAACTGCCAGTCAGGTGTGACACCAACTGGCAGTCAGGTGTGACACAGACTGCCACAGACAGGTGTGACACCGACTGCCAGTCAGGTGTGACACCAACTGGCAAGTGTGACGGCCACTGCCACAGACAGGTGTGACACCAACTGGCAGTCAGGTTTGACACCAACTGCCAGTCAGGTGTGACACCAACTGGCAGTCTGGTGTGACACCAACTGGCAGTCAGGTGTGACACCAACTGGCAGTCAGGTGTGACACCAACTGGCAGTCAGGTGTGACCCAACTGGCAGTCAGGTGTGACACAGACTGCCAGTCAGGTGTGACCCAACTGCCACAGACAGGTGTAACGGCCACTGGCAAGTGTGACGGCCACTGGCACAGTCAGGTGTGACACCAACTGGCAGTCAGGTGTGACACCAACTGGCAGTCAGGTGTGACCCAACTGGCAGTCAGGTGTGACACAGACTGCCAGTCAGGTGTGACCCAACTGCCACAGACAGGTGTAACGGCCACTGGCAAGTGTGACGGCCACTGGCACAGTCAGGTGTGACACAGACTGCCAGTCAGGTGTGACACCAACTGGCAGTCAGGTGTGACACCAACTGCCAGTCAGGTGTCACACCAACTGCCACAGACAGGTGTGACACCAACTGCCAGTCAGGTGTGACACAGACTGCCAGTCAGGTGTGACACCAACTGGCAGTCAGGTGTGACACCAACTGCCAGTCAGGTGTGACACCAACTGCCACAGACAGGTGTGACACAGACTGCCAGTCAGGTGTGACCCAACTGCCACAGACAGGTGTGACACAGACTGCCAGTCAGGTGTGACCCAACTGCCACAGACAGGTGTGACACAGACTGCCAGTCAGGTTTGACACCAACTGCCAGACAGGTGTGACACCAACTGGCAGTCAGGTGTGACACCAACTGCCAGTCAGGTGTGACACCGACTGCCACAGACAGGTGTGACACAGACTGCCAGTCAGGTGTGACACAGACTGCCACAGACAGGTGTGACACAGACTGCCAGTCAGGTGTGACACCAACTGCCACAGACAGGTGTGACACCAACTGCCACAGACAGGTGTGACACCGACTGCCAGTCAGGTGTGACCCAACTGCCACAGACAGGTGTGACACCAACTGCCACAGACAGGTGTGACACCAACTGCCACAGACAGGTGTGACACCGACTGCCAGTCAGGTGTGACCCAACTGCCACAGACAGGTGTGACACCAACTGCCACAGACAGGTGTGACACCAACTGCCACAGACAGGTGTGACACCGACTGCCAGTCAGGTGTGACCCAACTGCCACAGACAGGTGTGACACCAACTGCCACAGACAGGTGTGACACCAACTGCCACAGACAGGTGTGACACAGACTGCCAGTCAGGTGTGACACCGACTAACACAGACAGGTGTGACACCAACTGCCAGTCAGGTGTGACACCAACTGCCACAGACAGGTGTGACACAGACTGCCAGTCAGGTGTGACACCAACTGCCACAGACAGGTGTGACACAGACTGCCAGTCAGGTGTGACACCAACTGCCACAGTCAGGTGTGACACAGACTGCCAGTCAGGTGTGACACAGACTGCCACAGACAGGTGTGACACAGACTGCCACAGTCAGGTGTGACACAGACTGCCAGTCAGGTGTGACACCAACTGCCACAGTCAGGTGTGACACCAACTGCCAGTCAGGTGTGACACAGACTGCCAGTCAGGTGTGACACAGACTGCCACAGACAGGTGTGACACAGACTGCCACAGACAGGTGTGACACAGACTGCCAGTCAGGTGTGACACAGACTGCCACAGACAGGTGTGACACAGACTGCCACAGACAGGTGTGACACCAACTGCCACAGACAGGTGTGACACCAACTGCCACAGACAGGTGTGACACAGACTGCCAGTCAGGTGTGACACCGACTGCCAGTCAGGTGTGACACAGACTGCCACAGACAGGTGTGACACAGACTGCCACAGACAGGTGTGACACAGACTGCCACAGACAGGTGTGACACAGACTGTCAGTCAGGTGTGACACAGACTGCCACAGACAGGTGTGACACAGACTGCCACAGACAGGTGTGACACCGACTGCCAGTCAGGTGTGACACAGACTGCCACAGACAGGTGTGACACAGACTGCCACAGACAGGTGTGACACCAACTAATACTTCATTTACGCTAAATTGAAACAGTAGAGGAAATGTTTAACAGTTTGACTGTTAATTAACTGATCAGTGTGTTAAGAGGTAAATGGTCAAAGAACTGGGAAGGCACACTCCTTTAAGTACTGTGACACCATCCTATCTGAGGTAGCTAAACAAAAAATACTCACAGGCATTGTCCAAAAGACCTCAGCAATTAACAAGCTAAGGAACCTTTGGTGTGACAGAAAGACTTATATTGACACTAAAGTCCTTATGCAGTCACTGGTCATGTCTATCTTCTTACATGGGTGCAAAGCATTGATACTCAATGCAGATGTCCAAAGACAAATCAAGTTCTTAGAAATGAGATCTGTTTTTTATGGGGACATATTAAATGTACATTTAATGATGCCTATGAACCCCAAATAGATATACTACATATAAGGCCCGTCTGTCACAAAATAAGCCTTAAAATTAAATTTCTGTTTAATGCCAAAGCCAAAAAGAACTTACTCCTCCAATAGTAGCTAAGGAATTTCCAGACTTGATGTGAACAACATTGACCTGGGGAAGAGTCAGATATTGAAATTAACTTGAAATTAGTTACATGCATGCCTAATTCTAATAGTAACAATTTAAACTTACACAGCTTACGCTAAGCCTTCAGTAAGGCTAATTTTAATAAGTTTTATGGTGAGAAAAAGGTAAAACCTTTGTTAAGCGTCGGAATGGTATAGCAGTAAAAACAGTAAAACAATGGCAAAGTCAGTCACACAGTTCCGGAATCCACAGGAAGTACTGTAAACCATACTTTATTTGGTGCCAACTTTTATTTATTATATAGAACGTTTAAAATTTGGATAGATTGATTGCATGTTATTGTTAAATACTGCTTTACTAATAATTTTGTATAGCTAATTATTTTTAAGTTGTTTCTGCTAAAGATTTCTGCTACTTAACATTGTTCTAGTTCTAGTAATTTTTACAATTTTCGTAATCATTTTAACTATACCTAGCCTAGCACTGCAGCTAGCTAGATCTAGATCTATATTCTAGTAAATCTCGCACTACAATCTTACCAAAAAAAAGGCTGCTAAAGTAAATAAGCTTAATTGCATCTGATGAAAACATCACTAGTAGTAGTCACTAGTCTTTATTTATTAGGCCTACTAAAAAGTTTTAATACAATTGTTTAAAAACAAGTACTTACATGAAACAAGGAAACATTTTTGTATTTTTCAAAACATAAATCCTCAAAATGTTAAATAATTATTAAAATTTAAGGAGTCACCTGTTTTTCACATTACTAAACTATAAATATTACGAAGTGACTACTCGGAAGAAGATTTTTCTTCCCAATGTCTCCACTTAGTCTTAGTCGGCAAAAGATAGCTCTGGGCATGCGCAGTGACCTATGGCTAGTATTGGCTAGGGTTAGGGCTAGAATTAGGGTAAGGATTAGGGCTAGGGTTAGGATTAGGGTTGGTGTTAGGGTTCTGCGGTTGTAAAAACACGCATGCGCAGTACCATAGAAAACATCGCCGCAATGGCAAGTCGTAGTTTCTCTCCATTGTGCATTCGTATCTTATTCGGCTAGCATCGGCCTTAATATTATTGATATTAGATCTAGACTACTCTACTAAGTTACTAGATTTCTAGATCTAGATCTAGATTCTAACTCTCTTCTCTAGATCTAGAGATTCTAGAGTCCTCCTTGCTTCTAGCTAGATTCTCTAGAATCTAGAATCTCTAGCGTAGCCTGAGTGAGTAGCTAGTAGATCTAGATGTACTAATCTTTATCTAGCTTAGAGTAATACTAATAGTACTAGTGTAACTAGAGTAACTAGAGTCTGAGACTCTAGTAGATCTAGATTCTAGAATCTAGATCTAGTCATCTAGTGTCTAGATCTAGTAGCTAGCCAGCTAGCTACTAGATTCTAGATGTAGAATTGTAGATCTAGATCTAGTTATAAACTATAGGCCTAATATAGATCTACTTAATAGTATTATAAATTTTTTAAATTATTAGTATAGTTAGTAGTAGATCTAGTCTAGATCTAGATCTAGAATCTAGTAGCTAGCAGCTTGACTTTTCGCTTTACGTTTTTAACTTTTTTAGCATTACCATTAGGTTAGGGCACCGTTAGGGTTGGGGATAGGGTTAACATTGATATTAGCTGCCGCAGACGTGTGTATTTTAGTTACCTAACACACTTTTTAAGAAGATTCTATTATCGGATACTGGGAATTTAAAAAATCCCCCTCGATTTAAGAAACTACAAACAAGTCAAACCTACCTCCATTTTGAAGCTTCTGAAGCCGGCCTTCTGCCACTTACGTAGCTATACAGCACTATCTATACTTATAATCCTGAGGATCCGATACTTGTGAAATGTTATTTTTGTAGCAACTACAAATGGACATAATTATGATGTGAAATATTGAGCCATTTGATAGGTATACATATGTTTAAGCTATATTTTTTTAAAAATATAAATTGATATACCTTTATACAACAGAGAATAATATCAATAATTTTAATAATTTTCTATTCATTTTCATGGAATAGTAAGTATCGATACCTTAGTATCACTCCCATCTAAGCAACGAATATTATGTTATATGAATATATTTAGAACTATTAATATATTCATGAGTTATTTTAATCAAACAGCTAGCAGGCTTAGCTTACTACATACATACATATTAAGAAATTTACATCTGTTGCAAATCCAACTCGTATTTTTGTTTTGGTGTTACAAAAGTTTTCGATGTTTAAAACTGTATTTTTGAAAATGATTAAAATCATTCGAGGTTCAAGGTTCAACAAATGGGCATAATTTAAATTATTTTAAATGTAGGTAGTCATACTACTACTACAAATACGTAAATCTAGATTAAGACACTTTTAGACATCTAGTAGACTTCTAGATCTAGATCTAGTAATAAACTTACGTATTCAGATATGTTATCTTTCTTTTTTTTTTTAAATCTAATTAAATCTAGATCTAGGGATCGTCCATAAATGACGTTACTTTCCAGTGTGACGATGGAGTTGGGGCGGGGGGCGGTAGATAGCGTGTTTTTTTTTTTTTTTTTTTCATTTTGAAAAATAATATTAGAAACTGAAAAGTAATTGAAATTGTTTCGCGTTTAAAAAATCGTGTTTAAAAAAAGCAAAAACTTTAATTTTGGTTGGCTGAAGTGTGTTGCTACAAGGATTGGGTGGCTTTAAAAAGTTAGAGCATAAATTATGAATGACCGCTCAAGGCAGTAATATTAATAGATGCAAGTGAAACGAAAACGATTAGTCTAATAAGAACCTACTAAACTTAAAAAAAGTAAAGTACCGTTTCGAACTCGACGATCCATGGGGCAGGCAAAATGTTTCAGTGACCCCCCCCCCCCCCCGCAAAAGAAGTTTCGGGCCACACGGTGGCGTAGCGAGGTTGGGTGTCACCCGGTGCGGCACTTAATAGTGTCACTCCCCAGAGGCGTAGCGACCCTTCCCGGGGACAAACTTTCAATTTTCCAGATGCACCCCCCTCAAACTTTCGATTTGCACCCCCCCCCCCCTCAAACTTTCGATTTGCACACCCCCTCCCCTCAAACTTTCGATTTGCACCCCCCCCCTTCAAATTTTTCTCTATATATTTTGCAATTTTTTTGCCTTGGTGTCACCCCCCTAAATGGTGTCACCTGGTGCGGTCCGCACCCCCAGCACCCCCCTCGCTACGCCTCTGGGGCCGCATACACACAAATATATAATATATAATTCAATTTGAAAAATCATTGTATTTGTAGTCAATTATTCAATTTGGTGTAACCCCATCCTACTACAGACGTGGATTGACGTGAAAGTTATTACAATTCTCAACAAAACCTATTCCTATGACACATTTTGCAACGTTTAGTTGGTGTCATCCCCCTACCCCTACTATGCACAGATAGTACTAACGATGTTGATCTATAGTCAGTTATAAATACAGCTGGATGTATAATTGTTTTCTCTATCGTTAGCAGGTTTATGTCATAGTGTCACCACCCCCCCCCCCTCCCCCAACCCTTTTCGGGATTTGTCAATTTTGCTCTTAATTTAAAAGACTTTTGAACTCTTATTAATCATTTATTTGACTAGAATGATCATTTTATTCTAAAAATATTTTGCTATTTTTGCCTTGGTGTCACCCCCCCCCCCTAAATGGCGTCACCGGTGCGATCCGCACCCCCGCCCCACAACCTCTCGCAATGCCTCTGATTTAACCTAATTCAATGCAAAGCATATCAATCGTGAGACACCAAATCACACACAAATTTCGGGCTTGATTTAATATTGTTTTGAAAATGTCATTATCTTATTTCTAAGTTAATATCAAGTACGTCAACAGTATTTAAACACGAAGGTTTGATAAGTGTTATGGTTTCCCGTGTTAGTTTTATTCTTATGATATTTTGCATTTATATTAATAATTAATAGCTGTCTTTCTTGTTATAGCTTATTGTAATAATAATTACGATAAAAGAATACTTTTTTGATTTGCTTAGTACAAAAACTATTAAAATGAAATTTTTGGTCACCCCTTTTAGAAGATTTAAAGAGGGAAATAAATCATGGGAGTTGCTTGAAGGTTCTCATTTCTTTCACACTACAGCTCGTGTAGTTTAGTTGTCTGTGCAACGGTGTGTGTTGGTTACTGTAGAACAATCACTGCTGTAGTAGATCAGTTTTTTTGTTTTTTACAAAACTACCTCACCCCACCCCGCATGACGTGGTCTGGCGGGATGGTAGTTCCGCCCATGCAGTAACCTCAACATTGTAAGTGTGGTCAGCACTATGCCCAACCGCCTTTACTATCCCTAACGTGAGTCAGGAACCCATCAGAATTCGGTGGACCCAGCAGAGGCGTAGCGATTCGACCTATTCTGGTGCCCAGGGCGGACTATCAATTTTCTCGCACACCCTCCATTTTCTATACATATTTATTCATGTGTGTGTAAAACCGCCCCCTCCCCCAGTTGGAAAGATTTGTGGCGCTTCTTGTTAGTTACAATCCCGTAAAATTTTCGGTGCCTCTAAATTGATATAGAAAACCGTTAAATCAGTTTAAAAACCTGGCAGTGGCGGGGGGGGGTTGGGGGGGGGTCATAACCCCCCCCCCATAGACCACTCGGTATATATATATATATATAAAGTATGAGGGGGGTGCAAATCGAAAGTATGAGGGGGGGGGTGCAAATCGAAAGTTTGAGGGGGGGGGGGTGCAAATCGAAAGTTTGAGGGGGGGGGGGGTGCAAATCGAAAGTTTGAGGGGGGTGCAAATCGAAAATTTGTCCCCGGGTAAAAATTGGAACCCCCCCCCCCTTGAGACGATCCTGGCTACGCCACTGAAACCTGGTAGTCATTTATTGTCGTAATATTGATTGTGTGTAATCGATACTTCAGCTTAAAACGAGCTTTTAAATTAATGTCTGTACTCCTTTTGGCGCCCCCTTGGGGTCGACGCTCGGGGCGGCCGCCCCATCCGCCCTTCCCAAGCTACACCACTTGGACCCAGACACGTTTTACTGACACGAAACCCGGACTCGAAACTTTCGGTTTATAAGTTGTCAATGCTTTTTAGACTAATTCTGTGGAAGTCTATTGACTTTAATAGCCTAATATATAGGCTATTAAATTGTCTTTTGTATTGTTAGTCACTTGAAATAAAATGCAACCCCTTAAAAAGCCACAAACTACACGAATTCAAGCTAAAATTAATGTTATTATTACAATATTTTTTATTATTATGTAAGGAAGTTGATATCGTGGTTAATAAAAGGAAAATTAAAATGTAAGAGCTAGA